TGGGTGGGCGGGGCTAAGTTTAACCGTTTCCCACAGAATCTTTTATGAACAAGCAATAGCCCCACCCACCCACCCCTTCTTCATTCCAATGACTATTCTCAACATTGTTCAGTCTTATTTTGGCAAGTTTTACTTAATTATTTTCTTGTACTACTTATCAACTATAAAATTTATTTCTTATTTCTGAAGACAAAATGAGAGAACGGGTGGGTGGGCGGGGCTAAGTTCAACCGTTTCCCACAGAATATTTTATGAACAAACAATAGCCCCGCCCACCCGCCCCCTCTTTTTTCCAGTGACTGCTCTTAATATTGTTCAGTCTTATTTTAGCAAGTTTTACTTAATTATTTTGTTATACTACTTATCTCCTATAAAATTTATTTCTTATTTCTGAAGACAAAATGGGAGAACGGGTGGGTGGGCGGGGCTAAATTTTACCGTTTCCCACAGAATTTTTTATGAACAAGCAATAGCCCCACCCACCCACCCCTTCTTTATTCCAGTGACTACTCTTAATATTGTTCAGTCCTATTTTAGCACGTTTTACTTAATTGTTTTGTTATACTACTTATCTCCTATAAAATTTATTTCTTATTTCTGAAGACAAAATGAGAGAACGGGTGGGTGGGCGGGGCTAAGTTTAACCTTTTCCCACAGAATCTTTTATAAGCAAGCAATAGCCCCGCCCACCCACCCCTTCTTCATTCCAGTGACTACTCTCAGCATTGTTCAGTCTTATTTTAGCAAGTTTTACTTAATTATTTTTTATACTACTTATCTGCTATAACATTTATTTCTTATTTCTAACGACAAAATGAGAGAACGGGTGGGTGGGCGGGGCTAAGCTTAACCTTTTCCCACAGAATTTTTTATGAACAAGCAATAGCCCCACCCACCCACCCCTTCTTTATTCCAGTGACTACTCTTAATATTGTTCAGTCTTATTTTAGCAAGTTTTACTTAATTATTTTGTTATACCACTTATCTGCTATCACAATTATTTCTTATTTCTGAAGACAAAATGAAAGAACGGGTGGGTGGGCGGGGCTAAGTTTAACCTTTTCCTACATAATCTTTTATAGGTAAGCAATAGCCCCGCCCACCCACCCCTTCTTCATTCCAGTGACCACCCCTAATATTGTTCAGTCCTATTTTAGCAAGTTCTAGTTGATTATTTTCTTGTACTACTTATCTCCTATAAAATTTATTTCTTAATTCTGAAGACAAAATGAGAGAACGGGTGGGTGGGCGGGGCTAAGTTTAACTCTTTCGTACAGAATCTTTTATAAGCAGGCAATAGCCCCGCCCACCCACCCTTTCTTCATTCCAGTGACTACTCTCAACATTGTTCAGTCTTATTTTAGCAAGTTTTACTTAATTATTTTGTTATACTGCTTATCTGCTATAACATTTATTTCTTATTTCTGAAGACAAAATGAGAGAAAGGGTGGGTGGGCGGGGCTAAGTTTAACTTTTTCCTACAGAATCTTTTATAAGCAAGCAATAGCTGTTTTTCAAATGACAATTGAAAAACAGCAAATCTAAAACCGGGAAGTCGAAAAATCAAAAGATTGAGAAATCGGAACATTTGAAAAATTCGAAAACTTGAAAAATTCAAACATCGAAGAACTGAAATGAAATATCGAGAATTCGAAAAATCTAAAATTTAAAAAATTAAAAAATCTAAAATTTAAAAATCGAAAAAGTAAAATAATCGACACATCGAAAACTCCAGGAGTCAAAAATCGAAATATTGAAAAATTCCAAAACTGATTATATCCAACAACTGAAATATCCAAAAACTGAGAACCTAAAAAGTCGAAAAATTGAGCAATCGAACAACCCAAAAAGTGAAGTCGAAAAAACTAAAAAATGAAGAATCGAAAAATTAAAGAATTGAAGAACAGGAATATCGAAACCCTCGAATGTCAAGAAATGGGATAAACATGAAAAGTGAGATTACAATTTTTCAAAATTTTTCCAAAAAAAAATGGTTAAAATGTTGTTTCATTTCGGGCATTTATTTCCTTAATTTTTTCAACATTCGTTTTTCGATGTTCTAATTTTATAATTTTTCTTTTCTCAACTTAAAATTTTTCAATTTTTGGAATTTTTAAATTTTTTCGAATTGCAATTTTTAGTGTTTCACTTTTTTGATTTTCCAACTTTAGATTTTTTAATTTTTCGACTTTTCAGTTCAGTTTCTCCATTTTTCAATTTTTCATTTGTTCCATTTTTGATTTGCAGTTTTTCTAGTTTTCATTTTAAATATGTAATCTAATATATATTTTTTAATTTATCAGTTTTTTAATTCCTCGATTTTAGAAGTTTCTCAATTTTTATTATGGGCCATCGTTTTTTCCAAGTGACTAAAGAATTTTAAATCCTAGATTCTTCTACTTGTCAAACTAGAATTCAATTATCATTTTACACTAGATAAAAGAACTCAGGGAAATGGAGAGAGGAGGTGGGCGGGGCTAAGTTTAGCCACTCTATTTTCTTAAAGACTAATTTTATAATTTTTCTTTTTTCAATTTAAAAATTTTCAATTTTTCGAATTTTGAAATTTTTTCGAATTGCAATTTTTAATGTTTCAATCCTAATGTTGAAAATGAACGAAATCGTAAAATCAGATAATTGACAAACCCAAAAATTCCAAAACTGAAAAATGTAAAAATTGAAAAATCGCGGAATCGAAAAATTAAGGATTGATAATTTGAAAAAATTTAATAAACGAACAATTATAAAATAGAAAGAAACATTGAAGAAATAAAGGAAATGAAAAATTGTGATATAAAATCGAGAAAACGAAAATTATAAAATCGGGAAAATGAAAAATAAAAATCAAGAACTTGATAGTAGTTACCAATTTTTTTGAGCCACCTAGTATAAGTAATTCTAAAATCTATGACTGTAAGTATTGATAAACCACAATTTTATTAAGAATCCGAAATCCGTGAAATTAGATCCTAAAAACTGAAATATCGAGAATTCGAAAAATTTAAAATTTTAAAAATTAAAAAATCTAAAATTTCAAAATCGAAAAATTGAAAAATCGAAAAAGTAAAATAATCGGCACATCGAAAAATCCAGGAGTCAAAAATCGAAAAGTCGAAGAATCGAAATACTGAAAAATCCCAAAACTGAGATATCCAACAACTGAAATATCCAAAAACTGAGAGCCTAAAAAGTCGAAAAATTGAGCAATCGAACAACCCAAAAAGTGAAGTCGAAAAAACTAAAAAATGAAGAATCGAAAAATTAAAGAATTGAAGAACAAGAATATCGAAACCCTCGAAAGTCAAGAAATGGGAAAATCAAAACATCGATTAATTGAAAAATCGAAAAATTGACAGTTATAAATATCAAATTTGAAAAATTGAAAATTTGAAAAAACGACAATTCAAAAACAGAAAATCTAAAACCGGGAAGTTGAAAAATCGATGGATTAAGAAATCAAAACATTTGAAAAATTCGAAAACATGAAAAACGGAAATATCGAAGAACTGCTATGAAAAATCGAGAAATCGAAAAATCTAAAATTTTAAATATTGGAAAATTAAAATACCAAAAAATTGAGAAATCTAAAATTTAAAAATCGAAAAAGTAAAAAGTCGACACATCGAAAAATCCAGAAGTCAAAAATGGAAAAGTCGAAGAACAGAAATATTGAAAATCCCAAAACTGAAATATGGAAAAACTGAAAAATGAAAGAAAAACTGACGAATCGAAAAACTGAAAAATCCCAAAACTGAAATATCCAAAAACTGAGAACCTAAAGAATCGAAAAATTGAGAAATCGAAAAATCAAAAAAGTGAAGTCGAAAAATCGAAACTTTAAAAAAATCTAAAAATCAAAAACCTGCAAAATCGTAAGATCGAAAAATTGAATAATAAGTAAACTGAAAAATCCCAAAACTGAAATGTCCAAAAACTGAGAAATTAAAAAATTGAAAAATTGAAAAATCGCAAAATTAAAAAAGTGATTACAATATTCTGGTAAATCCAGTACCATCCAGTATCAATTTGTCGAAAGTAAAACGCGTCGTTAAAAATACAGAGTCATCAAAATTGATTGAGAGAGTTGGTAAACCTGAACTTGAATAATTTGGTTTATTAAGTTGTATAAAAATATTAGCTGTCAGATTTGAAGTTTCAATTTTCAAATTTCAAAACTCAGTGGCGCCTTTTTTCGTTTTTTTTTTTTATATTAGTTGTCAGATTTGAAGTTACGAATTTTAGATCCGTTCATTTCTGGAATTTGTTCTCAAGGATGCAATGCAAGTAGCAATAAGGCATAGGGTGCGCATCGACCAAGGCGACTCGTATACCAACGTTAAAACCGTTCGCAACTGATTCAGGTGAGTTCGACAATCAACCTCCAGTTCTTTTGTCACGCCACTGAATTCATTGTCATATACAGTAGCGGTCATTTCTACGGAACCACTCGATAAAAAGTCAAGTTGGTAGCCCTGTCATCTAGTACTTTACGCCGAACGCGGTTGGTAGCGGTAGTTGATATGGCAATCGAAACTAGCACAACACGAATGTTTCGGTTGCTCTCAGCTATGCCTCACTGTATCCCGTGCACACTGTATGTTCTGTTCATCTGTTTATTAAAATAAAATATCTACATTGACAATGGGGTCATCTAACCTGTCAAATTTTTGACACATGTTTTCCCCCAGAAACCCGTCAAGGTCACTTACACCAAACAAATTTTGAAAATTTACACCAGGGAGTGGTTCTATAGAAAAGATCGCGACTTTAACCTTAAAAAAATCTGTCATAAGGTTGACAAACTTCACGACAAAAACAGGGAGTACCAACTCTCTCAATCAATTTTGATGACTCTGTATAATACCATTTTTTCTATTGTAGTTAATTTTATTCCTAGTTAGAAACAAACACTGTTGCCAACATAATCCGAGTAGTCCTCATCCGCCATTTAATTTAAACTATGACGCTTCTCTATGTTCTCTGATACGACCTGTGGGTATGACAAGTGACAGCCGTCAAGGTCACTCCGTTGCGGTTATGTCACTCAAAATTTGAATAAATTCGGGCCGAAACGCCGCGAGAATGGCGATTTAGACGCGGGCGCGTGCCTCCGGTGGACAATTTCGGTGCTCGGTGGTGGTGACAGCCGCGCCAGCCCCCATGCGAACATAACCTCAACCATGCGATAAAATGGAAACGAGCGTGGAAGAGGCGGGTCTGGGCACGCGGGAGGCGCTGCGGAAGCTGCATTTCGAGATCGAGGCGGTGTTGCAACAGCTGAGGATCGCGCAGAAAGCCAGGTGGGTGCGGAGCGTTGTGGGGTGTCTGGACTCTGACTTGTCGTTACAGGAGGACGAAGTCGTGGATCCGGGACACGTTTCACCACGCGAGCCAGCACAGCACCATCAACTGGGTGTCGGCGGGGTTTCTGGTATGGGTGGTGGTCGCACTGTTCGTTGCAAGTTTGATCGATAATAGTTTTTTCTTGTTGGGGGAGAGTTTGCTCATTGTTGTTCTTTTGGTGTGTAATGTGTCGTTGGAGTTGTATAATAATAAGCTGCGGCATGAGGAGGTCCCGAATCGGGTTAGAGCGGTTCTGGAGAAAATTAAAAAAATTGCTACGACGGTTCAATGGGAGGGGAAGAACTACCCCAATTTGTGTTCGCCGTTTTCGCCTTGCATCACGTTGCAGTGGACTTACAGGGATAACAAATTGGTGAATTTGCCGTGGGCGCTTCTGGTGAAAGACGACGTTATTTTGGTGCGACCGGGGCAACTGAGTCCTGGTTACTGTGAGGCTATTGATAAAAGCTCAGAGTTTCCGCTGCTCCACGCTAAGGAAGTCTACTCCCCGTCGCTTCAAAGTGCCAATGAAATTTTCAGTGCCCCTAAATCCAGAAAACCTCTAGAAAACAAAAAGTACCGCCTGTTGGAGACCCCCTACCTAAACAATTTACGAATTTATCTGGAGCAAGCTCTAGACCGCCCTATTACTCTTCTGAACCAACAAAGACACCTCGTTATGATTAAAATCATCGAAAGATTTCTGCTCCCCATGACTTTCTTCGGGGTTTTGCTGGTGAATTTGTTTCGATATTTGTTTCCTTTGGGACGGAGCACCTCCTCCGAGATGTTTCTGGTAGTGCCTGCAGCCACCATCCTTCCGTTGTTACCGCTCATTTTTCCAGTCGCTTGGAACTTGTTGAATTATTTCGGATTGGCGCGTTTTCAAAGCATTTTAGATATTTCTCGCCACATCGAAACGGCAAGCGACAATCCGCTGGAGGAAGACACCGAGGACACGACGATCGACCACTCCGAACTGACGTGTCGACGACAAGAGTTGTGGAAGAATTTCGTTTCAATCATAAAAGGAAAACCGGAGCTTTTGGTCCACTCGGCGAATATTTTGCACGTCCTGGGCACCGTTACGGTAAAAACGGGTTCACATTTAAGTAAATTTGGTTGAAATTGAATTTATAGGCGCTTGGGTGCGTCGACAAAAAGGGAATCCTCTCCTGGCCTAACCCTACCGCCGAAAAAGTCTTCTTCCTCCATAATAACGAAACCGTTTCCCCTTCGTCCAGTCTAGGCAACGTCGGCGACTTGTCAGTGGACGCAGACAGCGCAGGCGGGACTCCGCACCACTACAGTTACGAAAGTCCCAGTACTTCGGTCGCCGAAGTCCTAGATCTCACCCACAACCACAGCGAGCCTTTCAAGCTACATTTCGACGACCAGGAGTGGCAGCAGTTTTTGTCTTCTTTGAAGCCCTTAGGGCTCGCGATTCTACTAAACACGTGTAACGTGGATACTCAGGTACGACAAGAACTCGGAGCGGTTTCAGATCTAGTAGTGCTTTTTTTCTAGGAACACTACGCAGCTTTTTGTTCCCACATCACCTGTGAAGCTATTTATAACGAAAATTTAATTCCAGTGACTAATCGAAGATGCCTTTGTGAACTAGCTAAAGAAATCGGTTTCGTGGACCAGGCGCAGAAGATTTTTGCCTTAGAACAGCAGCTTTCGACTTTTAGGCACTTGGTAGGGTAATTTGATTGTAAATAGTAGAGGCGATAAGCTCCACCCATTGCCACGACCACTTAACTGCACTCCTCACTACCTGTGGCTACAAAAGCGAAGCCCCGCCCACCCACCCGTGTATCGTCGTTGTTTATTGGCTGCGCCTCTTGTTGCTTGTGATACACCACGCCTACTCCGCTTGCTTTACCCCCACTACGTTTTCGATTTCTCAATTTTTTAATTTCTCAGTTTTGGGATTTTTCAGTATTTCTGTCTTTCGACTTTTCCATTTTTGACTTCTGGATTTTTCGATGTGTCGACTTTTTACTTTTTCGATTTTTAAATTCGATTTCTCAATTTTTTGGTATTTTCATTTTTCAATATTTAAAATTTTAGATTTTTCGATTTCTCGATTTTTCATTTCAGTTCTTCGATATTTCCGTTTTTCATGTTTTCGAATTTTTCAAATGTTTTGATTTCTTTAATCCATCGGTTTTTTGACTTTCCGGTTTTAGATTTTCTGTTTTTCAATTGTCGTTTTCTCAAATTTTCGATTTTTCAAATTTGACATTTAAACTGTCAATTTTTCGAGTTTTCAATTAATCGATGTTTTGATTTTCCCATTTCTTGACCTTCGAGTGTTTCGATTTTCCTGTTCTTCAGTTCTTTAATTTTTTGATTTTTCAATTTTTCGATTTTTCAAAGTTTCTATTTTTCGACTTCACTTTTTTGATTTTTCAATATTTCAATTCTTCGGTTTTTCTATTGTTGACTTCTGGATTTTTCGATGTGTCTACCTTTTTTACTTACCCAATTTTTCAACTTTTAACTTTTTGTTTGTCGACTTCTCTATTTTTCGATTTTTCGACTTTTCGGTTTCTCGTTCTTTTGATCTTTCAATCTCTCAATTTTTTGAAGTTTTAATTTTTTTGATTTCTCGATTTATCTAGATTTGGATTTTTCGATATTTTGATTGTCAATTTCTCAAGTTATAAATTGCTCAATTTTTAACTTTTCGATTTTTCGATTTTGGCCTATTTCGGTTTCTCAATTTTTAGTATTTTCAAAATTGCCAGATTTTTTGGAATTTTCAAAATTTCCAGATTTTTTGGATTTTTGTAAAATTTCCAGATTTTTGGTATTTTCAAAATTTCCAGATTTTTTGGTATTTTCAAAATATCCAGATTCTTTGGTATTTTCAAAATTTCCAGATTTTTTGGTTTTTCAATATTTCCAGATTTTTGGAAATTTTTCAAGATTTCCAGATTTTTTTGAATTTTCAAAATTTCCAGATTTTTTGGTTTTTCAAAATTTCCAGATTTTTTTAATTTTTCAAAATTTCCAGATTTTTGGAATTTTCAAAATTTCCAGATTTTTTGGAATTTTCAAAATTTCCAGATTTTTGGAATTTTCAAAATTTCCAGATTTTTGGAATTTTCAAAATTTCCAGATTTTTTGAATTTTTCAAAATTTCCAGATTTTTTAAATTTTTCAAAATTTACAGATTTTTTTGGATTTTTCAAAATTTCCAGATTTTTTGGTGTTTCGAAATTTCCAGATTTTTGTAATTTCCAAAACTTTCAAAATTTCCAGATTTTTTGGATTTTTCTAAATTTTCGGGATTTTTCTATTGCTCAATTTTCGACTTTTTAGGTTCTCAGTTTTGGGTATTTCAGTTTTCGGATTTTTCAGGTTTTCCATTTTTCAGTTTTTCTTTCATTTTTCAGTTTTTGGATATCTCAGTTTTGGGATTTTTCAATATGTCGATTCTTCGACTTTTCGATTTTTGACTCCTGGATTTTTCGATGTGTTGATTATTTTACTTTTTCGATTTTTCAATTTTTCGATTTTTAAATTTTATATTTTTTAATTTTTAAAATTTTAAATTTTTCGATTTCTCGATTTTTCAGTTCAGCTCTTCGATATTTGAATTTTTCAAGTTTTCGAATTTTTCGATTTCATCATTTGATTTTTCGACTTCCCAGTTTTAAATTTTCTGTTTTTCAATTGTCATTTTGTCAAATTTTCGATTTTTTAATTTTTCAAATTTGACTTTCATAAATTCTCAATTTTTCGATTTTTCAATTAATCGATGTTTTGATTTTTCCATTTCTTGACCTTCGAGTGTTTTGATTTTCCTGTTCTTCAGTTCTTTAATTTTTTGATTTTTCAATTTTTCGATTTTTCAAGGTTTCTATTTTTCGACTTCACTTTTTTGATTTTTCAATATTTCAATTCTTCGGTTTTTCTATTGTTGACTTCTGGATTTTTCGATGTGTCTACCTTTTTTACTTACCCAATTTTTCAACTTTTAACTTTTTGTTTGTCGATTTCTCTATTCTTCGATTTTTCGACTTCAACACTTTTCGGTTTCTCCTTCTTTTGATCTTTCAATTTCTCAATTTTTCAATTTTTCGAATTTTTAATTTTTTTGATTTCTCGATTTATCTAGATTTGGATTTTTCGATATTTTGATTGTCAATTTCTCAATTTATAAATTGCTCAATTTTTAACTCTTCGATTTTTCGATTTTGGCCTATTTCTGTTTCTCAATTTTTAGTATTTTCAAAATTGCCAGATTTTTTGGAATTTTCAAAATTTCCAGATTTTTTGAATTTTTAAAAATTTCCAGATTTTTAAAATTTTTCAAAATTTCCAGATTTTTTGGATTTTTCAAAATTTCCAGATTTTTTTGGTTTTTCAAAATTCCCAGATTTTTTGGTATTTTAAAAATTTCCGGTTTTTGGAATTTTCGAAATTTCCAGATTTTTTTGAATTTTCAAAATTTCCAGATTTTTTGGTATTTTTAAAATTTCCAGATTTTTTGGATTTTTCTAAATTTTCGGGATTTTTCTATTGCTCAATTTTCGACTTTTTAGATTCTCAGTTTTTGGATATTTCAGTTTTCGGATTTTTCAGGTTTTCCATTTTTCAGTTTTTCTTTCATTTTTCAGTTTTTGGATATCTCAGTTTTGGGATATCTCAGTTTTGGGATTTTTCAATATGTCGATTCTTCGACTTTTCGATTTTTGACTCCTGGATTTTTCGACGTGTTGATTATTTTACTTTTTCGATTTTTAAATTTTATATTTTTTAATTTTTAAAATTTTAGATTTTTCGATTTCTCGATTTTTCAGTTCAACTCTTCGATATTTGAATTTTTCAAGTTTTCGAATTTTTCAAATGTTTCGATTTCTTAATCTTTTGATTTTTCGACTTCCCGGTTTTAAATTTTCTGTTTTTCAATTGTCATTTTGTCAAATTTTCGATTTTTTAATTTTTCAAATTTGACTTTGATAAACTCTCAATTTTTCGATTTTTCAATTAATCGATGTTTTGATTTTCCCATTTCTTGACCTTCGAGTGTTTCGATTTTCCTGTTCTTCAGGTCTTTAATTTTTTGATTTTTCAGGTTTTTGATTTTTCAGTTTTTCGATTTTTTAAGGTTTCTATTTTGCGACTTCACTTTTTTGATTTTTCGATTTTTCAGTTTTTAGATATTTCAGTTTTAGAATTTTTCACTATTTCAATTCTTCATCTTTTCTATTTTTGACTTCGGGGTTTTTCGATGTGTCTACCTTTTTTTTCGATTTTTCAATTTTTGGATTTTTAAATTTTAGATTTTTCAATCTTTTGATATTTTAATTTTTCAATATTTCTTAATCTTTCGATTTTTCGACTTCCTGGTTTTAGATGTTCTGTTTTTCAATTTTTCGATTTGTTAATTTTTCATTCCCGATTTATCGAGATTTGATTGTTCTAATTTTCGATTTATCAATTTTTTCAATTTTTTATTTTGGCCTATTTCGGTTTCTCACTTTTTCCAGTTTTCCATTTTTTCGTTTTTTGATTTTTCCGCTTTTCCAATTTTTCAACTTTTAACTTTTTGTTTGTCGATTTCTCTATTTTTCGACTTCATCACTTTTCGATTTCTCATTCTTTTGATCTTTTAACCTCTCAATTTTTCGAATTTTTAAGTTTTTTGATTTCTCGATAAATATCGAGATTTGGATTTTTCGATATTTTGATTGTCAATTTCTCAATTTATAAATTATTCAATTTTTAACTTTTCGACTTCACAATTTCTTGATCTTTTGATTTTTCTATTTCTCGGTTTTTCGATGTATGTATATATTTTGCCTTTTTTTCGTCGAACATTCGAAAACTTAGGAACGCGAAAAATTGAAAACTCAAAAACCTGATGAATAGAAAAATTCGAAAATAGGAAAATTAAAGAATTGATAAATTGAAAAATCGAAAATCCAACGTTGAAAAATCAAAAAATCAAGAAATCGAGAAATGGGAAAATCAAAAATTCGATGAATCGAAAAGTTGAAAAATCACAAAACTGAAATATCGAAAAATTGACAAATCGAAAGTTGAAAAATCGAAAATTTAAAAATAGAAAAACTTTAAATACCTTAGAAATTGAAAACTTGAAGGATTAAAAAATTGAAAAATCGAGAAATCGGGAGTCAAGAAATCGAACATCGAAAAGTCGAGAAAGCAAGAAATTGAAAAATCAAAAAAATCTATGAAAAAGTCGAAAAATCGAAACATCAAAAAATTGGAAAATCGAAAAACCGAGAAATTGAAAAATTGAAACATTGAGAAATCGAAAAATTGAAACATCTTGAAATCGAGTAACAGAAAAAAAAATAAAAAAAACAAAATTCAAGAAATTGAAAAATCTCTAAACTGATTCGCCAAAAATTGGGAAATTGAAAAATCGAAACTCGAAACGCCGAAAAATCGAAAAATTGAAACAATGAGAAATTGAGAAATTGGAACATGGAGGAATCGAGTAATCGAAAAATCAATAAATTAAAATAGACAAAAAACCAAAAATTAGTACATAATTATTAAAAAATAATAAGAAATAAAAAATTGAAAAGCTGAAAATTTTCAAAATTTAAAAGCCGGAAATCTGAAAAATAAAAAAAGTGAATTATCTGAAACCGAGAAGTCGAAAAATCAAAAGATCGAGACATTAGAACATCAAAAAATTGAATATTCTAAAATTTATAAATTGGAAAAATTAACAAATCAAAAATCTGATTTTCGATTTATCAGTTTTTCAATTTTTTATTTTGGCCCATTTCGGTTTCTCAGTTTTTCCAGTTTTCCATTTTTTCGTTTTTTGATTTTTCCGCTTTTCCAATTTTTCAACTTTTAACTTTTTGTTTGTCGATTTCTCTACTTTTCGATTTTTCGACTTCATCACTTTTCGATTTCTCGTTGTCTTGATCTTTCAATCTCTCAATTTTTCAATTTTTCGAATTTTTAAGTTTTTTGATTTCTCGATTTATGGAGATTTGGATTTTTCGATATTTTGATTGTCAATTTCTCAATTTATAAATTATTCAATTTTTAACTTTTCGATTTTTCGATGTGTCTATATTTTGCCTTTTTTTCGTCGAACATTCGAAAACTTAGGAACGCGAAAAATTGAAAACTCAAAAACCTGATGAATCGAAAAATTCGAAAATAGCAAAATTAAAAGATTGATAAATTGAAAAGTCGTTTTTTGATTTTTCCGCTTTTCCAATTTTTCAACTTTTAACTTTTTGCTTGTCCATTTCTCTATTTTTCGATTTTTCGACTTGTCGTTCTCTTGATCTTTCAATCTCTCAATTTTTCGAATTTTTAAGTTTTTTGATTCCTGGATTTATTGAGATTTAGATTTTTCGATTTTGGCCTATTTCGCTTTCTCAATTGTTCGACTTTTCGACTCCACGATTTCTTGATCTTTTGATTTTTCGATTTTCCAGTTTTTCGATGTTTCGATTTTTCAGTTATCCGGTTTTTTACATTTTTTCGATTTTTTTAAGGTTTCGATTTTTCGATTATTAAATTTCTCGATTTTTCGATTATTTTATTTTTTCATTTTTTTTCTCACTGTTAATATCATACAGTGTATCGAAATCAACCACAAAAATTGTCACTAAAAACATTTAAAAATTCATACAAAATAGAACACAGTGTTTCCAACACATTTTCTCGTCAATGTCAATAAGGGTGCTTTTGCAAAATCAGCCTGAATGCCGCATCTATATTAATCTATGGTATGTACCGCCTATTCCGCTTTCTTTACCCCCCCACTACGTCCCTTTTTCGGTTACCTCGGCAAGCTCCGCCCCTTGGCGTAACGCCAAACCAATGAATGCAACTACATGCAACCACATACATCTGCCTTTCACCCCGCCCCTGATTACTCCTTTCGCGCAAACCCCGCCCCCTGACCAATCACTTCTTTCAGCAACCCGAAATGGTACGCCGCGACAACAAATACGCCCGCTCCCTCCACCTATCGACGAAGCTCAAATTCCCCTTCCCCCACATGTTCGCCGTGATAGTGAAAGAGCTGAGTAGCGGCTCGGTCCAACTACTTTCCGAAGGCACGGCCGATATTATCCTCGATTCGTGCGTGGACTACTGGGATGGTCACGATCTGTGTCCTCTCACACATTCCGACCGGAAAAAAATCCAGGATTTCTACCAGAGGAGCAGTCTGACGGCCTACTGCACGGCTTTCGCCTACCGGCCTTTGAATAAATGCATCAGCAGTAAGGTCAGTGGGGTGTACTTGGAGCTGCCGAGTGATAGTAGACACCTCTATATGAACTACCGGAGTCCCACTCCGGTTCATTGGGACTGCAAGAGCGTGCTAGAGCCGAAAATTAAGACTCCGTTGGGGCAGTTTTATAGCACTGGTAACGTTAAAAGTTGTTGAGTGTGTCGAGGGGTAAATCAATGTCGTAGATTCGTTGTTGTACAACGACCCGCCTTCTTTGGACGTGTCTGACGCCGAGAGCTGCTTCCAGATGCAGTGCAATCAAGTATTTATCGGGATGGTGACCATGCAGTACCAGGCTCTGACCGACATGGTAATTATCGTTGACGCTTAGTCGCAATAAGTCGGGACTCAGTCGGGTCCTCGTCTCGCTCCAGGTCCAGCTGATCGAGCAGCTGGAACGAGCCTGCATCCGCTTCGTTCATTTCAGCAAGGAGAACGAGCTTCGCTCGCGCGTCTTCAGCGAAAAAATGGGTCTAGAAAGCGGCTGGAACTGCCACATTTCGCTCCTCAGCGAACGCAACAGGTAAATCCCGGCCCGAGTAAAACCGGTCGTTCTATCATCGCTTGATAATCTCACCTTTCAGTTGCAGATTCTTTTATTTTCTTACTGTTTTCATGTTCTCTCTTCACCTTGACTAATCTCTGTTCACTTAAATGTTTGTGTGTTTTATTGTACTAATTGCTGGGAGGACAGACGTGATAGTGGACAAGCGGAGAGTACTGTTATTACCAATCCTAGGAGCGAGAGACAGAGACGGTTGTCGCAAAGTGCTCGCAAGCTAACACCGCATCACGACGAAAAGTCGTGTTTGCTCTCCGATAGGTACTGGAAATAGAATTTTGCACAGTTTTACGAGTCAAGCCGCATTTCAAAGCACCGAAAGGGCGGTTCTCTGTCTCGAGAAACGCCTACGTCATTCGTGGCCACGCCTCCGGCACAGAGAACCGCCTTCTCATACACACCCGCATGCACATCCTGCCGTTCATCCATAATCATACACACACCGGTTTTGAAATGAGGCGTAACGCAATTGGGGGTCTTGTAGCCTTGCAGCGGGGATTCTAACAGCTTTGTGCTTCGCGGTTTTGAACCAAGCCACTCCCCCAACTCCGCCTTTCTAACTAATTGTCTGACCTTAGCAACTTGGAGTCGTCGCGTACGATGAGTTTCTCAGCCCCTAGTGCTATCAACATGGAACACTCTGTGGTCAAATTCGACACTGAGCAGGAGCGTCTGAATAAAAACTCGAGCGACCAGAGTGGCGTCTACTCGACGAAATTAGCGAGTCACGACAGCGTTCAAATCCACAACGAAATCAACACGTCGCACGACTGGCAGTCGCTGAGTTGTTTGACGGACAGCACGGAGCAGAGCGCCCCCATTAACTTCGACATGAGCAACAGGGTATTAATATAATAGCATTGTTTAAGTATATTATAGTTGGACAACCTAATACAAATTTTACTTCGCCTAAATAGTGAGCTTTAGGACAATACACATCCACTACGAAGAACTAACCCATTTCGACCATTGGACTTTACAACGAATAACTGAACAAAGTTCTTGAACATCTTAACGATTCAATACATAATGTTCCCGAATCACAAAATTTACGTTTCAAATTGTATTATCAAATGGTAAAACACTCACCAAAATTTGTCACGAACAATGAAATGACGCAATCTCCAAATTTTACAATACTATATCCCCCGTTTACGGTTTATGCATCCGTGTCGAGTTTTCACCTTGGACCTCAAGATTTTTGGAAAAAAATCAACATTTTCCAATTTATAATGTTATTTAAATTTTAAAAAGTAGCATAGTCCTGATCTTCTGACTTACACCTAAATACGCTATTGGGATTTTTCGGCTTGTCGATTTCTCGATTTTTCAACTTTAAATGTCTCAATTTTTCAATATTTCAATTTTGGGCTTTTCCGATTCTTCTATTCTTGAAATTTTGTATTTCACGATTTTTTTATTTTTCGATTTCTCAATATTTCGATGTTTCAATGATACGATTTCTCAATTTTTGTCCTCTTCAATTTTACAGTTTTTAAATGTTTCGATTTTTCAAATTTTCACGTTTCTAAATTTTCAGTTTGCCGATTTCTAAGGTATTTTTTTATTTGTCCATTTCTGGACTTCCTAAAGTTTCGATTTTTCACATCTTCAAGTCTTCAATTTTTCGATTTTTTAAGATTACGATTTTTCGGTTTTGCTTTTTTAGATTTTCGATTTTTCAATTTTCCAATTTTTTGAATATTTCTTTCAGTTATGAGATTTTTCAATATTTCAATTTTTCGACTTTACGATTTTTGAATTGATGGATTTTTTTTGATTTCTCGATTTTTTACTTTTTGGATTTTCAATTTATTGTAAACTTTAGATTTTTCAATTCTGCGACTGTTTAATGCTTCGATTTCTCAATTTTTCAACTTTTCGATGTTTTAATATTTCATTTTTTTAAATTCTAGCTTTTTCGATATCTCGAGTTTTCAGTTCTCCACCCACTCTTCATTTCAATGACTGCTCCTAATATTGTTCAGTCTTATCTTACCAAGTGCTAGCCCCGCCCACCCACCTTCTATTTTCTTAGGGCTATGTCATCTGCCAAAATTAGTTTTATCTTAGCAAATTCTAGGCCCCCCCCACCCACCCTCTATTTTTCTAGAGGTTGTATGATTTGCCAAAATCAGTCTTATCTTATCAAGTACTAACAAAAAATGAAAAACTGCAAATTGTAAATCAAAAAATGAAAGAAATGAACAACTGAAAAATTAAAAATTGAGAACTGGTAAAATTGCGGATCGAAAATTGCAAAATTTAAAAATTGAAAAAATTTAGTAAACATTAAATTGTACTCAAAATATGTAATCCTAGACTCTATTTATTTATCAATATAAAATCCAACTTTCGTTCTTCAGACTCAATAAGAATGAATGATGAAAGCAGAATAGGGGTAGGTGGGCGGGGTCACTTTTTACTTTGTTTTAAATTTTAGATTCTACAGCTTATCAAAATACGTCAGTTAAATAGAGAAAAGAGGTGGGTGGGGCTAAGTTCAGCTTTTTTTTTAAAGAGTCTTACAAGCAAGCAGTAGCCGCGCCCACAACCCACTCTTCATTTCAATGACTACTCTTAATATTGTTCAGTCTTATCTTAGAAACTGATAACCCCGCCCACCCACCCTCTATTTTCTTAGGGCTATGTCGTCTGCCAAAATTAGTTTTATTTTAGCAAATTCTAGACCCGCCCACTCACCCTCTATTTTTCTAGAGGCTGTATGATTTGCCAAAATCAGTCTTATCTTAGCAAGTACTAATAAAAATTGAAAAGCTGAAAATTCTAAATCGCAAAATGAAAGAAATGAATAACTGAAAAATTAAAAATTGAGAACTGGTAAAATTGCGGATCGAAAATTGCAAAATTTAAAAACTGAAAAAATTTAGTAAATATTAAATTGTACTCAAAATATGTAATCCTAGATCCTATTTATTTATCAATATAAAATCCAACTTTCGTTCTTCAGACTCAATAAGAATGAATGATCAAAGCAGAATACGGGTGGGTGGGCGGGGTCACTTTTTACTTTGTTTTAAATTTTAGATTCTACGACTTGTCAAAATAAGTCAGTAAAATAGAGAAAAGAGGTGGGCGGGGCTGAGTTTAGCTTTTTTGAAAGAGTTACAAGCAAGCAGTAGCCCCGCCCACCTATTTAATTTCACTGACCACTCTTAATATTGTTCAGTCTTATCTTAGCAAGTACTAGCCCCGCCCACCCGCCCTCTTTTTCTTAAAGAGTATGTCATCTGCCAAAATTAGTTTTATCTTGGCAAAATTTTTCAATTTTTCGATTTTCCAGTTTGTCTTTTTTAAAATTTTTCGATTATTCATTCTTTTAATTTCTCAATTTATCGAATTCAGATGTTTCGTTGTTTTGATTGTTCAATTTCTCAATTTTTCAATTTTTAGCTTTCCTTTTCGGCTTCCGACTCCTCAATTTCTCGATCCTCCGATTTTTCGATTTCTCGAAGTCTGAGTTTTTGAATTTTTCGATGTTTCGATTTTTGGATTTCTCGGTTTTTCGATTTTTTTCTTTTGAGCATTTCAATTTCTGGATTTTTCAATTTTTCAAATTGAATTGGATTTCTCGATTCTTCAATTTTGCCATATTTTAATTATTCAGTGTTTTAAATTTTAGTTTTTCGATTTCTCGATTTTTTGACTTTTCAGTTCTTCAGTATCTAAATTTTTCAATTTTTCAAATTTTTGCGTTAAATTTTCAGATTTCTGATTTCTCAATTAATCTGTTTTTGATTTTCTCACTTCTCAAAGTTTCGATTTTTCAGTTCTTCAATTCTTCGATTTTTGGACTTCGCTTTATTGGTTTTTCGATTTCTCAATTTTTGGATATTTCTTTCAGTTTTGATATTTTTCAATACTTCGATTCTTTGATTTTTCCACTTCCAGATTTTTCAATTTTTTATTTTTGGATTTTCAGTTTTTTGTTTTTTATACTTCAGATTTTTCAATTTTTCGATTGTTTTATATTTCAATTTCTATATTTTAATTCTTCAAATTTCCGAATTTTTTAATTTTTTGAGATCTCAATTTATTGAGATTCGGATTTTTCGATGTTTTGATTATTCAATCTCTCGCTTTATCAATTTTTCTATATTTAAGTTTTCGATTTTTCGATTTTGGCCTATTTCGGTTTCTCAATTTTTTGATTTTTCGACATCGATTTTTCTATTCTTCGATTTTTTTGTCTTTTGATTTTTCGATTTCTCGATGTCTCAATTTTTGAATTTTACAATGTTTCGATTTTTCGATTTGTTGGTTTTTCGATTTTTTGCTTTTCGGTTTCTCGCTTTTTCGATATTTCGATTTTTGATTTATCCGATTTTTCAATTTTCCAATTTTTTAAATTCTCGACTTCTCGATTGTTTGATTTTTCAGTTTTTCGATTTTTAAATTTTAGATTTTCGAATTTTTATTTTTTTGATTTTTTGGTGTTTGGATTTCTCCATTTTTCAGTTTTAAGATATTTTAACTTTTCAATGTTTTAAATTTTAGATTTTTCGATTTTTCAGTTCTTCAATATTTTTTATTTTTCAAATTTTGACGTTTCTGAATTTTTAGTTTTCGGATTTCTCAATTAATCTATTTTTTTAAATTCCCATTTATCCACTTCCTAAAGTTTCGATTTTTCAGTTCTTCAGTTCTTCAATTTTTCGATTATTCAGGTTTTTGATTTTTCAATTTTTAGATTTTTTAAGTTTGGGATTTTTCGACTCTGCTTTTTTGGCTTTTCTGTTTCTCAATTTTTTAATTTCCTAATTTTTTGATATTTCGTTCAATTTTGTGATTTTTTAGATTTTCGATTTTTCAATTTTCCAATTTTTTGAATATTTCTTTCAGTTGAGATTTTTCAATATTTCAATTTTTCGACTTTACGATTTTTGAATTGATGGATTTTTTTGATTTCTCGATTTTTTACTTTTTGGATTTTCAATTTATTGTAAAATTTAGATTTTTCAATTCTGCGACTGTTTAATGCTTCGATTTCTCAATTTTTCAACTTTTCGATGTTTTAATATTTCATTTTTTAAAATTCTAGGTTTTTCGATATCTCGAGTTTTCAGTTCTCCTATATTTCAATTTTTCGATTTTCCAGTTTGTCTTTTTTAAAATTTTTCGATTATTCATTCTTTTAATTTCTCAATTTATCGAATTCAGATGTTTCGTTGTTTTGATTGTCCAATTTCTCAATTTTTCAATTTTTAACTTTCCTTTTCGGCTTCCGACTCCTCAATTTCTCGATCCTCCGTTTTTCGATTTCTCGAAGTCTCAGTTTTTGAATTTTTCGATGTTTCGATTTTTGGATTTCTCGGTTTCTCGATTTTTTTCTTTTGAGCATTTCAATTTCTGGATTTTTCAATTTTTCAAATTGAATTGGATTTCTCGATTCTTCAATTTTGCCATATTTTAATTATTCAGTGTTTTAAATTTTAGTTTTTCGATTTCGCGATTTTTTGACTTTTCAGTTCTTCGGTATCTAAATTTTTCAATTTTTCAAATTTTTGCGTTAAATTTTCAGATTTCTGATTTCTCAATTAATCTGTTTTTGATTTTCTCACTTCTCAAAGTTTCGATTTTTCAGTTCTTCAATTCTTCGATTTTTGGACTTCGCTTTATTGGTTTTTCGATTTCTCAATTTTTGGATATTTCTTTCAGTTTTGATATTTTTCAATACTTCGATTCTTTGATTTTTCCACTTCCAGATTTTTCAATTTTTTATTTTTGGACTTTCAGTTTTTTGTTTTTTATACTTCAGATTTTTCAATTTTTCGATTGTTTTATATTTCAATTTCTATATTTTAATTCTTCAAATTTCCGAATTTTTTAATTTTTTGAGATCTCAATTTATTGAGATTCGGATTTTTCGATGTTTTGATTATTCAATCTCTCGCTTTATCAATTTTTCTATATTTAAGTTTTCGATTTTTCGATTTTGGCCTATTTCGGTTTCTCAATGATTTTTCTATTCTTCGATTTTTTTGTGTTTTGATTTTTCGATTTCTCGATGTCTCAATTTTTGAATTTTACAATGTTTCGATTTTTCGATTTTTTGCTTTTCGGTTTCTCGCTTTTTCGATATTTCGATTTTTGATTTATCCGATTTTTCAATTTTCCAATTTTTTAAATTCTCGGCTTTTCGATTTTTAAATTTTAGATTTTCGAATTTTTATTTTTTTGATTTTTTGATGTTTGGATTTCTCGATTTTTCAGTTTTAAGATATTTTAACTTTTCAATGTTTTAAATTTTAGATTTTTCGATTTTTCAGTTCTTCAATATTTTTTTATTTTTCAAATTTTGACGTTTCTGAATTTTTAGTTTTCGAATTTCTCAATTAATCTATTTTTTTAAATTCCCATTTATCCACTTCCTAAAGTTTCGATTTTTCAGTTCTTCAATTTTTCGATTATTCAGGTTTTTGATTTTTCAATTTTTAGATTTTTTAAGTTTGCGATTTTTCGACTCTGCTTTTTTGACTTTTCTGTTTCTCAATTTTTTAATTTCCTAATTGTTTGATATTTCGTTCAATTTTGTGATTTTTCAGTTTTTCGATTTCTCAATTTTAACTTTTCAATTTTTAAATTATTAATTTTTTTCGATTTTTTGAGTTTTCAGTTCTTCTATATTTCAATTTTTCAATTTTCGGAATTTTTAAATTTTCGATTGTCCAATTTTTTTATTTTGATTTTTTTGTTTCTATTTCTCGATTTTACAATTTTCCCACATTTAAATTTTCGATTTCTAGGAATTATTGTGTTACAGTAGTCATCAGTCATTATTCATCAAGAACGATTATTGCTGTGCGTTAAAATGCCTACGTACTGATAAGCACGTACATACAAGAAGCATTTAAGGCTGTTTTAACTCTGCTACATTTAATTTTTGCGATTTTAAATTCATTTCTTGATGTCTAAATCGTATATATTTAAATGGTGATAAATATTTTGTGATAAAATGCATTTTAGTTTCAAAGATAATATGTATTTAATGATTTGACTACTCTTAATAAAAAAAATACGTAAGAAGATGTTCATATTGAATTAATTTGGTGTTCATAGTTTTGGATGATAACCCTAGTTATTCTGGAGGCAAATTAGATGACTTGTTACTTATTAATTAAAGCAGTGGTCGTTTAATTTCGTGCCTTTAAAGTTAAATTTTTGTTGACCTTTATTTGTTTTTGTGCAAATATACGTGCTACCACACACACGAAACAGGTATGCACTACATATATGTATAGTCTTTAACACGTACGTTTGCTTATTTTGTGACTGCTCCCCGTACAACGTACTGATTAATACGTCCCCTTATCGACATCACGTGCTTACAGACTATTTTTACCCCCTTTCGTAAGGTACCGCCACTTCATAGTGAAGCGAGTGAGATGTAAAATATATATTCATTCTTTTCTACATGGGAAAGTGATTGTCCGTATAAGTTGTCAAACTATAATATACTTAAACAATGATAATAGTTAAAGCGCCCCGCCCACTCTAACTCCGCCCCGTAGGCCAAACTCCCGCGCGGCATCGACAAGATCCGCCCCCACATCGAGCTAATCGACAACGTGCCTCTGCTAGTGTCGCTTTTCACGGATTGCACCTCCAGCGCCACCCGCGAGATGCTCAACATCATGCAGGACTACCACGAGATCGTGTGCGTCATGGGGTCTTCAGCCAACTGCGACAACGCCGGGATTTTCATGCAAGCCGACGCCAGCATCGCCGTAGACCCTCTCTTCCCCCAAGTGTGCCAGAAAATCCCGGGGTATAACCAACCGGTTACGGGGGTCTCCCCTGTGGATTTATCGCGCGACCTCAACTCCATCGCGTGCTCGCTCTGTCTCCGCCGCGACGACCCCGTGTCGTTCTACCACCTAGTGATGGAAGCGCGCCACTTCGTCACCACGCTGTGGAGCTCCACGCAATTCTGGACCTCGTGCTGCGTGATCATAGGGTTGATGCAGCTGCTGTCGGTCGTGATGATGCTGCCGCCGCTCTTCACAGTGGGTCAAGTACTATGGTTGACCTGCGTCGTGGTACCGTTGTTAAGCGTGTCTCTAATGGGGCTGCCGGTGGACCCAGAGGTGATGAAGCGGCCCCAAGGCAAGAACCACGTAGGGGTCAACTGGGATATCTGTTTTTTTATCGTGTGGTGCTACGGGGTTAAGTTTTTGCCCAGCGTGGTGGTCGTTGTGGTGGTTTTCGTGGGGATTCTGGGGGAGCACTGCGTGGAGTTGTGCGCCGTGCAGAACTGCACGTGCCAGGTTTTCTACCTGGGGGTGGAGTGGCGGGAGGATGCGTGGACGCTGGCGGCGGCGAGGCTGGTGGTGGTGTTTTTGGTCCTGCTGCATTTTGGTAAGTGGCGGGGGCGGCGAAACAACCACTAATTTGACGTTTCAGTGATTATTTCCATCGGATTCGTGGATAGGGATTATCTGATTTATAAGAGGCCGCCGATTAGAAATTATTTCTGGTTGATAACGACTTTTATTTTGTAAGTGGTACCCCGTATTATATATGTTACAGTTAATATCCGAAATACGTTATTATGCATAATAACTAGACATTTTAGGAATTATGCGTAATAACTAAACTTTTCAGTTATTATGCATAATACCTGAAACATTAGTCATTAAGCATATTGCCTAATAGGCCAGGGCCGATAATTTTTGAGAACAAAAAAATTTAGAACAGAATGATACCCATTGGAAAAGGAAGAAAATATAACAAAAATAAAAGGAGAAATAATTTAGGGGCGATCTGAGGTCGGGAAGTGGAAGAGGGTGAGCATTTAAGGGGACTCGCTAGACGAGGTATAACATTTTTTTGGTTTTTGTATGAAAAAATGATATTAATATAGATGTATCATACATCAAACTACAGCTTTTTTCATATTCTAGAGCGCAGAGACCAGTTCAATCAACTAAAAAAATATGGCTGAGAAATATCGTAAAAAAGCACCATTGTATGTTTTCTTTTCAATTTTTTTGAGTCATAACCATCATAGAATCGCTTGAAAATTCGCACATGGATAAAACATCACTTTTTACAGGGCGCAGAGTCATTAAATGTTTGTTAGTGGTACAATTTGTTTAAATAATAATGTGTTTATTAAAATCAAAATATACCACAAATTAATGCAAAATACGTCGAATAATTTTAACAGGAATATCATAGGAAAATTAATGATCTATTGGTTAGCACAGTTTTTGACAAAAACTAACAATTATTGAAAAAAATGGGTATCAATTCGACAGAATTTGAGCAGTTAGTTCAGTACTTTGCCGATAGGAGCGCCACTAAAATTTACGGAAGCGACTTAAACCCTTATCGCCTGCTCTACCATAAACTGATTGTTAGAGTTCTCGACTGATTTTTCTAATTTATGGCAAGGAACTCAGTTTTATAACAAGCCGCCAGGACCGGCCGTAGTAATCTATTGTTAAGGAAATTAACTTTTACGCAATGAGGTACTATCATGAAACCGAATTAAAACTGGGGAACTATAATATTTTTACTCCACTCAGGATCCTGAATTCAATACACATGATTACTAAAAATTCATTGTAATATTGTTGTTAATATATATTTTGCTTTCTTAATTAATAAAACTAATAAACATATTTATAATAATAATTAAAAATATATAAAATACAGCTTTTGTTTAACACGTATAAGTAGCTAAGTGTATCTACTACATATCCTAGAAAGGAGGTGTTTTAAAAAAGCCCTACGCCCAGTAACTTCTTCCTTCATTGTTTACTCGAAAAAAGTGCTCGTATATGTTTTCATTTGCCGAGAGATCATTTTCAAAATATATTTATAATAAAAATATGCAAGTCTTGGTGATGAAAAATGTACTCCTAATAAATTATTAAAGTACATACAAAAATAGAAACAAATTTTATTTATTTAAAAAAAAACTCTCGCAAAGGCAGGTTCCTCTTTCTTCTTGAATCAATTATTTCGGGCAATAATGCGCCAAAGTAAAGTTTATCTGCCATTTTTTTTGACATATATTTCTTCGTCTTTATAATTTTTTTCTATATTTATTCCTTTGGGTGTCCACACAACAAAATAAACTTGTGAAATACCCGTAACAAGCATTTGTCCCTGGACTTGAAAGTAGTAATCATGATTCTTTTTTTAGTTTCAATTCTCTGTCTGTCAATGTACAAACTTTGATTTTTTTTTCTAACCGCTTCTTCGGGAGACAAATCTTGCGATTTTGAAGGGCATTTAATTTCGACTAATGCACTCCTATCCTCTAGAACTATGTCTGGATTAGCAGCCAAGTAAGGAGATTGTTTTGAAATAAACAATTCACACCGTTCCGTTTTTATATTTTTATTTATTTCAAAACACTTGACAGCTTTTTCCTCACTTTGCTGTGTATGTATGACTTTTACCTCTAAATGTACTGTACAACAGATACTCCACAGTTTTAGCTATTTCTGTAGTCGGTCTAAGTTTGTAAATACGTCCAAAATTTGAAGCCGTAACCCTAATTTCTCTTTTTTTGCTAAAATGTGCCTGTTGCCTAGTGTCTGTTTGAATTTAGTCTAAATTCAAAGATAATTTTCTCAAAAAAAAACTCTTTGGCTGTCACAAATGTTTCTACATCCATGACAGGATTTTCTAAAAAATATTTAAACCATAATCGGAGTCAGAACCAGCATACGTAAATTTTTTTACGACATATTTTTTTACGAATACTTTGTCTAAGACGAGCTTGTTTTATAGACGAACAATATTTTTTTGTTATTAACCAAGACCGTTTTAATCACAATATATTTACTTATCCCCTCTAAAAAATTGATGACGTCACCTCAAAATTTTGCTGAATAAATCCTATCTAAATTGTATAAAATATGATGAGTCTCTTCTTGTGATTTATCATTCCATTCATGTTTTTTGGATTTGCATATACAGGATGACCCCAAACATTAATGAATGCGTAAATTTATTTTATTGATTTAATCAGGAACTACAGAACCCAATGCTTTGAAATCTTGCAAATGTTTTAAGGTTATAAAGAGCATACTAAATTTTTAGTCCAAATATATTTGCTTATCCCCTCCAAAAAATTGATGACGTCAGCTCAAAAGTTTGCCGTATAATCCTATTTAAAGTTTACAAAATATGATGAGTCTCTTCTTGTAATTTATCATTCCATTCATATTTTTGGATTTGCATATGCAGGGTGACTCAAAAAAATTAATGAAGGCGTGAATTTATTTTATCGATTTAATCAGGAATTACAAAACCGAATGCTTTGAAATCTTGGGAATATTTTAAAGTTATTATAAGCATGGTAAACTTTTGTTCAAAATGTATTTGTTCATCCCTCCTAAAAAATTGATGACGTCACCCTTAAATTTTGCTGAATAAATCCTATCTAAAATGCAAAAAATATGATGAGTTTGTACTTGTGATTTATCATTCCATTCATATTTTTTAGATTTTCTTAAGAGGTGGTTCAAAAAAATTAATGAAGTCAATTTATTTTATTGATTAAATTAAAGGCAACACTTATTATTAGAATTACACCCCAACCAACCCAATTTGGTAGACACAAAATTTGTTAAAGGAAAAACTCGGTTGAAACATAAGGGTAGCACGCTTATTTACATCGACTTTAACATTACAGACCTGCATTTGTTTTATGCGCTCACTTGGTTCCGCGAATGTGAAATAGACATGTTTATAATCAACCAATTGTGAATTTCACCGTCAAGAATTAAAATAAAACCCAATGTTTTATATAATAAGCGGAAGTCGAAGCAATAAAACCGATGGTCGTTTTGTTTACAGTTTCTCTGTTTGACTCTCACGTATGCTGTTACGCCTGTCATCTTAAATTAAGAATGTTTATACATACACGATTTTCAGTTGCCTCTGATACGTATACGTGAGTAAATTGTTTCGTTATTTTATTGATTATTACAAATCAATATTCAAAACGACCCAATTCATTTTCCCGAAAATTTGAGAATATAATAATTTTATTCTTAGTATTACACTACATCTATCCCAACTGATATACGTGTCCTTGCAAAAATGTTGATGACGTCATCGCAATTTTTTTTTAAATTCCCACTACAAAAATGTAATGAGAAACAAAACAATAGGCATGCAGTCGTCAAGTTTCCGACAGCGAGGGAAGTACTGTCTAAACTCTTTACCCCAATTTTTTTATTGCACATTAGTTTGTAAAAAATGAGCAGAGTAGGCGGTGTAAGAAAATAGGCGGGTGGGCGGAGCTAAGATTAATTTTGTGGGTTGGTTTTAGGCCGACGTAACCATAAAGAAACGTAGTGGCGGTAAAGAAAGCGGAATAGGCGGTACATACACTTGGAGGTGTGTCACAAGCAACAAAACAGGCGCAGCCAATATAAAACGAAAATGCACGGGTGGGTGGGCGGGGCTTCGCTTTTGTAGCCACAGGTGTTGTGGAGTGGGGTTAAGTGGTCGTGATCATGGGTGGAGCTTATCGCCTCTAGTATTTATACGCAAAGTACGCGTTACTCATAGAAAAATAAGGATTTTATAGTTAAGATCCGCCCCTCGGATTACGACGAATAAAAAAATTCATCAGAATTGAGATAGGGTGGGAGGGCGGGGCTTATACTTTGCCTTTTTTTTTTTTTCTTAATATACGTAGCCATCTTTTCACAACAAGAAACTTAGAACATTGCAAAATCGATATTTCCTTATACAAATTTTCCATTTTAAACATGTTTTAAGTTTCTTGTTGTGAAAACAAGTCTACACATATTAAAACAAACAGGCAAAATCTAAGCCCGCCCACCCGCCCTGTCTCTATTGTGATTATTTTTTTTATTCGCCGTGAATCAAGGGAGTGGAGCTTAACTGCAAAATACTTATTTCTTGACAAGAAATTAAAAACATGTTTTCGAGTATCGTGTTGTTCAAAGAATGCTAGTCATATTAGGAAAAAAAGCAAAATATAGACCCCGCCCACCCACCCCATCTCAATTGGGATGATTTTTTTATTCTTAGAAACTCAAATCTCGTTTAAAATGGTAAATTTTTGTAAGGAATTTTAGGCTCCGCCCCTAGGTCTGCCAACAATCTCGATTTTTTTATGTTCAATTTCTCGACTTTTCAATTTACCAATTCCTTAATATTTCTGTTTTTCAATCTTTCAATTTTTCCATTCATCAGATTTTTGATTTTTCGATTTTTCGCGTTCCCAAGTTTTGGAGTTTTCGAATTTTCGATATCTCGATTTTTTCACTTGTAGATTAATCGATTTTTAGATCTTCCCACTTCTCGATTTTCCCATTTCTCGATTTTTCGATTTCTCGATCTTTTCATGTTTTGATTTGTCAATGTTCCAATTTTTCGACTTTTCGTTTTTTGGATTTTTGAACTTTCGTTTCTAAATCTTTGGACATTCAAGTTTTAGCATTTTTCAGTTATTTTATTCGTCAATTTTTCGATAATTAAATTTTCAAATTTTTCCATTTTCCGATTGTTGGCGTTTCTAAGTTTTCGATTTTTCTATTTCTGGATTTTTGTACTTTTAGATTTATCATTTTTTTGATTTTTCTGTTTTCGAATTTTTCAATTTTTCGATTTCTCAGATTTTTGATTTGTTAATTTTTCCAATTTATAAATTTTAGAATATTCAATTTTTTGATGTTTTAATGTCTCGATCTTTTGATTTTTCGACTTCTCGGTTTTAGATGATTCACTTTTTTAATTTTTGAAAATTTTGATTTTTCAGATTTCCGGCTTTTAAATTTTGAAAATTTTTAATTTTTCAAGTTCTCCAATTTTTCGTTTTATAGATTATATCTTATTATTTTTTAATAATTATGTACTTACTAATTTTTCATTCTTTTGTCAATTTTGATTTATTGATTTTTCGATCACTCGATTTCTCCATGTTCCAATTTCTCAATTTCTCATTGTTTCAATTTTTAGATTTTTCGCTTTTTCGGCGTTTCAAGTTTCGATTTTTCAATTTCCCAATTTTTGGCGAATCAGTTTAGAGATTTTTTTTGGATCCGGATATACAGGGTGACTCAAAAAATTTAATGAATACGCAAATTTATTTTATTGATTTAATCAGGAACTACAAAACCGAATGCTTTGAAATCTAATGTGAAAAAAAAACATAATAGGCATGCAGTCGTCACGTTTCCGATAGCGAGGGAAGTACTGTCTAAACTCTTTAAACCAATTTTTTTGATTTTCCCATTTTTCCATTTCTCCATTTTCAAAGTTTCAGTTTGGGATTTTTTCACTGTTTCGATTCTTTAATTTTCCTTCCATTTTTAGGTTTTTCAATATTTCAGCTTTGGAATTTTGCAATATTTCGTCTCTTCAATTTTTCAAATTTTTGATATTGTGTTTTCTCGGTTTTTAAATTTTTCGATATTTTAATTTTTCAGTTTTTAAAGTTTTAGGTTTTTAGATTTCTCACTATCTCGACTTTTCGATTTTTTAGTTCCATGATTTTTCAATTTGTCGAATTTTTAAATTTTAGATTTTTTGTTCTCGACCATTCAATTTTCTGAGTTTTCAGGCTTGGATTTTTTTTGTTGTTCAATTCTTGGATTTTTAAAATTTTTGTTTTTTAAATTTTCCTATTTATCAACTTACTGGGATTTCAATGTTTTGATTTTTTGCTTGTTCAATTTCTCGATTTTTTGAATTTTTAGTTTTTTCAAAAATTTTCAGTTTTTCAATTTATGAACTTTACGATATTTCAGTTTTACGATTTTTAAATTTTTCTATTTTTCAGTTTTCAATTTTTGACGTTTCTAAATTTTTCGATTTTTCAATTTTTCGATTAACTGATTTTTTGATTTTCCCATTTCTCTATTTCTTGATTTTTCAATTCTTTCCTCAATTGTGATTTTTCAATTTTTCGATTTCTGGATTTTTCACTGTTTCAGTTTTGGATTTTTTCACTTTTCCGATTCTTCAATTTTCTTTCCATTTTTCAGTTTTTAAAGATTTCAGTTTTTCAGTATTTCAGTTCTGAGATTTTGCAATGTTTCGGTTCTTCAATTTTTCCACTTTTTGATGTTTCGATTTCTCGGTTTTTCAATTTTTCGATAGTTATTTTAATTTTTCAATTTTTAAGTTCTAGATTTTCCGTTAATTTTATTGTTTTCCTTGATGTTTTGATTTCTCGATTATTTGATTTTTCAAGTTCTCGGTTTAGATTTTTTGGTTTTCCAATTCTTCGATTTTTAAATTGTTTAATTTTTAGATTGTTCAATTTCTCGATTTATAGATTTTTCAATTTTTCAGTTTACCGATTTTTTTCATTTAAAATGTTTCAGTTTTTCAATTTTTCAATTTTGGTGTAATTTGAAAACGGTATCAATAATACATTTAAGCGAATAAACTAATAGACGGGCTTGACAAGCCTTGTTTGCTCTACAGTGTCTAAATTGTGTTTGAATAATATAATAGTCGTCTAGCGTTACCCCTTAAGGGTAGAAAACGGTTTATCACGATTTCCGGCAAAACTACAAGTCCTATCGAAAAAAGTTAAATGGCAAACTTCTAGGTAATAAAAGGATCTACAACTTTTGAATTTAGACTTTTTTACATAACCTCAAAATTTATGCGAAAAATTCAAATAACCGAGTTTTTGGTTTTTTATTTTTATCTCACACAAAAAAAAATTTTTTTTTTCACGAAATTTGGTGAAAACTTACCTGTTTATGTCCCAAACTCACTGTAATTTTTTTTATTCAAAATATTTATTTTTCCCCCTTATTTTCATTTAATATCGAAAAACCACCCTAATTTTCAATCGAAAATTCTCACGTCAAAATGTTTGCTTTTTTAAAAAAATCGGTGTGCTTTTTGTTCGTTGAAATCTCTACTTTCTGATGGTGTAAAAAAAAGTATACACAATTTTTTGTGTGAGATAAAAATAAAAAACCAAAAATTCGGTTATTTGCATTTTTCGCATAAATCTTGAGGTTATGTAAAGAAAGTGTAAATACAAAAGTTGTAGACCTTTTTATTACCTACAACTTTGCCGTTTAACTTTTTGCGATAGGACTTGTAGTTTTGCCGGAAATCGCGATAAACCGTTTTCTACCCTTAAAAGCTTACCCTCTTCCCCTTCCGGACCTCAAATCGCCCGTAAATTATTTTTCCCTTTATTTTTGTTATGTTTTCTTCCTTTTCCAATGGGTATCATCCTGTTCTATTTTTTTTTCACTTTTTACCATTTTCGAAGGCTTCGGCACTGGCCTATAACATGTCCAGCTGATTTCAAAAAAACGGGACAAGATGAGCAATTCAGGTTCTCATAGATCAATGAAAAGCAATGGGAATATGACGTTTATATAACTGTAATTTGTCCCTTTTTTTTAAATCAACTGTACATGGGATATGTAGGGGAAAGTGAGGTAGGGTGGGTAGGTTTTTGGAAAATATTATGCATAATTCATGTTCCTCTGAAAATTTCAGTTATTACGCATAATTCCTAAAATGTCTAGTTATTATGCATAATAACGGATTTAGGATATTAGCTGTAATATATACATATAATTTCGTTTTTTTCCAGAGTACTAATTCAAAGTATTCATACAATAGTAAATTATTATAATTTAAAAAACAGTACTGACGAGAATCAAAGGTTTGACATGCCGGTTTGGGTCATTATTTTCGCGGCAGTCTCCCCTTTTTTGGTTTTAATAATTAACGAAATTATTAAGCAACAGGAAATAATGTGAGTTACAAAATTATAGTGTGTTAAATTTTCCAACGAGAATTTTGTTCCAGGGCGAACAAAAGATTCCGAAAACGAGCCCGACTGGACTTCGGGACGAAGCTAGGGATGAACTCGCCGTTTTGAAGACTACAAGCCAAAATATATTTTTATATTTTAGGTGTAAACATTACATTAAGACACAATGTGACTTCTACAATACAAGACTGGACTGTTTTTAAGTCATTTTAAATAAAGTGTTGATTTTGAACGTACTATTTTATTATCACACATTTAACAATAAAATTAAAATCGATTCAATCTAGTAAGATTAAAAGATGAGTAATACTAGAAGAAACTAAAATAAATTAATAAAATAAAATGCACTCAAGTAGTTGAGCAAAAGGAGCCATAAGAACGCGGCCAAGCATTATTAGAGTCGCTAGAATAGTTAAAATGTGATGCAAATAAAAATCGAACGAAGAAAATCGTCTATCCTACTCTTAATTAATTGACTCGTCGCTAGTTTAGCAAGTGAACTACACCTCAGAGTGCTCGTAATTTCTAAAATTGTCATTAAAACTCAATGTCACTTTGTACTTCACCAGTCAATTAAATTCCAAAACAAAGACTCCTCTTTAAAATCGTTAAAATAAAATAGAATCCTAACTAAGAAATATTGCACGAATCTCAGGGATTCTCCGGCAAATCCAGCACCTCCGAAATAAACGAGGAAATATCGGTGTTCATCTCCTTGTGCGTGACAAGGAAACTGTGATTCAACAACTGTTCGTAGTTCGACCTATCTGTGTACTTTTTCTGCAAACATTTCGAGATGAAGTCCTCGAACTCGGCCGTGAACTGGCCCGGCGGCAGCCGAGGGGGGTCGTCGGTCACCACCTGCTTCAGCTGCTCGAACGGGGAGCCCCACTTCGGATAGGGGAACTGACCCGTCGCCAACTCAATCAGCGAAATCCCTAAACTCCACACGTCCGACCGGATGTCGTACTGGGAGGGATTCCCCTGGGGGTCTATCCTCTCGGGCTACAAATCAATTCAAATGCGAAACACAGAAAATCACAACCACAACAAAAATACAACTGTCAATTTATAACAAACCGACGTGATCTAGACACCTCTGACATGAAATGTCAAAAGCGCCATCTGTCGACTTGTTTTGAACTCGAACGACAGTCGTTATTTTCGTTTTTTTTTAACAAAATTTTGGAAACTTACAGCCATGTATGGTTTACAACCAGCGTCTATGGTCTTGGCGATGGAATCCACGAGGTAGCCACTAATACCGAAGTCGCACATCTTCACCGACCCTTGTTTATTTATAAGTATGTTTGAGGGTTTGACGTCCCTGTGGATGACTTTCAACTGCGAGTGGAGGTAGTGCAACGCGCTGACGACCGCAAACGTGATTTTACCTAAAAAAACGACCCGTAACACTCGTAATAGTGGACTTTCACCACCCCCTAACCTAACATATTTTCAGGTATCCTGCGTCCGTGCCTGTACACTTTCATGTAAAACTTATCCAAGCTCGTGTCCATCACCTCCATGCAGATCCACACGTCCCCCTCGCGAAACAGCGCCCCGTAGAACTGCACCGTGTACGGACAGTCGCTGCTCCTCATCGAAATATCTAAGTCAGTCAACAGTCTCTTCTGCTCTTGCGTATTTACAGTGGCAGCGATGCGCTTAACAGCCATGATTGTCCCGCTCGGGACGTGCTTCATCTTCTCCACGATCCCGTACGCCCCCCTGCCCAAATCTGCGATTTTCTCCAAGTCGTCGGCTTCCACGTCGAACGTGCGCTCGCCGATGGTTATTGTCGTGCGTTTGTCGAGGTTAGCGGGGGCGATTCTGGAAAGGTAACGCGATTATGGATTTTTATGGCGGTTTCGGGGTCAAGAGCGCTTACATTGGTGGCGGGTCCTCGACGACGTGGAGCTTCAAGGGGGTCTTTTTCTTGCGTCCGGGGGCTGCCATGGTCGCTGCGGGTGAAATTAGGGTTAGATTTTTGTTTACTAAAGTCGAGTATTGACATCAAGTGGCCGTGGTTATGTCACTTGACGCGACGGCGGGGCTGGGATGGGGGACCCGGAAAATGAGTATTGGAGTATCTTACCTTTAAAAGTTTGAATGGAAAAGTGGATTTTCTACACTTACAATATTTTTAACTGATTATGACCAAATACGGCAGGCGGACGCTGGAAGTGGGCTACTGGGGTATTTTGAAAGTGTCAACATAGAGGGCGCTGGCGCGCGAACAATGCTGCCAACGTGTCGCGCTGTCACTACAATCTGGTGTCGTTGTTTACGTTAGTGCGACTTGGGTAATTTTAGACGGTGAGGTTGGTACGAAACAAATTATTTTTTATTAAATTACAAATCAAATTTAACACCTTTCGAAGACTTTATACAAATTGGGGAGGTTTGCCACTTCCAAGACGGCTCCGTTCTCGGTAAACTTCTTCGGTGGAATAAAGTACTGTTTTACTGATGAGTACACGACGTGTTCTGTTAGCCACTTCCAATCATTACCCTCCCAGGCGGAGTCTTCGCTCATTTGAGAGTAATACAGGGCCGTCTCTTTAGCAAAACTCTCAAAACACTCGCGTTCCGTTTCCCAGTTGACTTCAGTCGCTAAACGAACAATGTAGACGGGAAGCCCGGCTATATCAGGGGTGTACTTATCTGAAACAACCACACAATATTTATTTAACTTATCATTAAACTCATATTTTACCTAAAAGTAGCGGTATCGAACACAACCGCCCCTCTTCGTCCACATTCATCGAAAAATACTCATTCAACATCTCCCCCTTTTCCGTCAAAATCTCAGCAACCTTCTCCGCTAAGTCCTTCTTATCCCCATCTTCGGGACTCCACCCCACTTCCGGCAACTCCAACCCTTGCAGCGCCAACTCGTACACCGGCAACGGCTCCGAGAAACTTATCGCCCCGAAATTTTGAAAATTGTACAACACAAACTGGTAGAACAACTCGTACATGATTTTTCTAGTGTTGCACAGGAACAACTTCGTGCTGTACTGGATCAGGGCCTGGGAGGTGTCCACAGTACCCACGAACACGTGCTGCGCGAACACGTCCCTCAGGACTTTGTGACACTTCCTCTCGATGGATTTGCGCAATTCCAGGACGCTGGTCAACTCAGTGTCGATTCGATTCACTTTGGAGAGCAAGGAGGCGCTGACTTTGTCCTCCTTGGAGGTGGAGGCGTTCAAATCCAGGACGCTCTTGTTCTGGTCGAGGGCGGGGCCGAAGAACTTTTCCAGTTTCTGGGTGGCGGGGCTGGTTCGCACTAAGTCTTTGGGGTGCACGGGGGCGGGGTCTTTGAGGGGGAGGATTTCGGGGTGGGCGCCTGGGAGCTTCGCCTGACACACAAAACTTAATTAATCAATCAATGTAATTTAAATTTGACATTTTCCCGCGCCACCAGTTGCGACATTTTGATTGGTGGATTTTGACACTGACGCAACGATGACGTCAGTATCATTATTAATCTACTTGTCTTACTTGTGTGTAAAATATCCTAGAATTGTTGGACTTCAGTAACTTTGTTTCTAAGGCTGAACAAACGGCTTCCACGATTTGATCTTCGTTTAAAAAGTGGACTTCGTGCTTTGTGGGGTGCACATTGACGTCCACGGTCACGGGGTCCAACTCCAGACTTAAGTACACAAAAGGGTGGGAATTTTTGGGTAAATACGTCGCATAGACCTGATCTATGCACTTCTTCAAATCTATAAAAGCACGAAATAAAAAAAAAATCGTGGTTATTTTAAAACTTACTGTGGCAATCCACCAATCTACTATTAATAAACAACAAAAAAGTAAACTTTTTATTGGAGTAATTAACATTGGTCATGTGCCCCCTCGCCTTAAACTTCAACAAATCATTCTCAACCTGAAACTCCACCAACTCCCTTGCAATTATATTCCCGTACACCGTTCTAATATTATCCACGCGCGTGGACTCCGGGGGCGTCCTGATGTCGTTATTTTCCGTCGACTTTCTCAACGCGAACCCCACACTAGCGTTATGTATCGCATACTTCCCCACAACCTCCGAAATCTTCTGGTACTCCTCCGCGGGGCTCCGCAGCGCCTTCTTCCGCACGTCCATATTAAAAAACAAATCTTCAACCGTGATAATCGTGCCTTGATTCCCGGCTGTCGGAAGCGGCGCCCCTTGCAGCTTCCCATCCACAAAATTAGCCCTAATCAATCATTGCAAATCCACCCCTGCCATACCTACTTATAAGCGCACACTTCGCTGCTAGTTTTCGACACGATAGTCAAGTGCGCGATGTGGCTGATGCTCGCCAGAGCCTCCCCCCGGAAGCCGTAAGTCGCTATGTTCTGGAGGTCGTCGAATTCGCGAAGTTTCGACGTGGTGAAGCGCTCGCACACGATGTCGAAGTCGTGTTTGCGGATCCCGGTGCCGTTGTCTTGGATCTGGAACCAGGGGTCAGTGGTAGTAGTGACACGGTTCGGTGTACCTGTAAGAGTTTCAAGCCCCCATTTTTCACAGTGATTTGGATGTTGGTGCTTTGGGCGTCCAGGCTGTTTTCGATCATTTCTTTAAGCGCGTTGGCGGGACGCTGGATGATTTCGCCAGCAGCGATCCGATTAATTACCGCTTCGTCGAGTTTTTTGATTTCGCGGGGCTCCATTTTGTTTGAGGTTAGAGAAAACAATTTTGAATTTGGGGGATTTTGGTTTCGCACTGAAGGCGGTTGGCGTCGCTGGACAGTTGTTTTCGAAATTAAATTAAATAGTCATTGTTTTTTACAGTACAGTAGTATTGTTTATGGATACAGGAAATGTGTTATTTTGGTGTGAGCTCCAGAAATTTCGTTTGTGCGATTTTTGTGTGACACGTAAAAATATTATTGTCGTTTAATTTTAAAAGTGAAGGTCGGTTTTTTATTCATTTTGACTACAACCTTTTGCTTACGTGAAAATAATAATAAACACTGAAGTGCGTTGTTTTTGTGTAGTTTTTTCTTAAAAAATCTACCTGTTTCGGAGTCAGGGTTTTCCGCATTGCGGTATTGGCACCCACTTGACAGCTGACAGCATGACATAATTTTTTGTTTATGTCAACAAGCGCTTTTAAACACCAACAATGCATTAAACATTTACGTTTTGTTTAACCGGAAGGCGATTAATTCCGAGGTCACCCCGCAACGGTAATATTCCCAAAAACTCGTTCCTTTTGCGCACTTTTCCCTATACTTTTTGCTAGATTGTCGTGCCCCCTTGTTGCTCGGAACTTGTACAGATGAAGCCCTTTGACGTACTTTTGCAACCCGTAGTAACCCACAGTACGGACCGTATGCACAATGTAACGCAACTATGGCAGTTTTCAGTAAGTTCCTTGTTCATTTAAACCCGAAAATGTGGCTTGTGGGGGACCTGTCGCCGCCACTGAGCGTGCCCACGGTACTTAGCACCTTCATTATTTGCATTCTGGGTTTTTATATTTTTAAATGGTTGAGTGGTGACGGGAACGTGCCCATTAGGGACTCGTCGAAGAACCATAGCTGGATTCCAATTAAAATAGCCTCAAAGGTAGGGTTTAGGGTGTACAAACACCACTAAAGCGACTCGTTATAGGCTTGGTACTGCTCCATATGTGAGTCGTTTCTGATCAACGGAATCGGGGTTTACTGTGATTGTTGTGGGGTGTGCGCGGACCCAGAGTGTGTAAAAAAAGCCAACGTGAAGCTCCAGTGTAAGGCAATCACGAGTAATAACGAAAAGCAGCTGCACCACTGGGTTAAAGGTAGGTGCACACTAGACACATATCTAGTACCTAGTAAGTACCGACAGATGGCGCGCACTCAACTGTCAACTTTGTCACTCAAATCTTGTCTTAATAAAATTGAAGGAAACCTGCCTCTGGGGGCTGTCTGCTGCCTCTGCAACGAAGACTGCTCCATGGAGCCGGGCCTCATCGACTACCAGTGCTGCTGGTGCCAGCGCACGGTTCACACCTCTTGTCTGTCCAAGCTCCCCCAAGACTGCGATTTTGGTCCGTTTCGGAATATGATAGTGCCCCCTTGGTGCGTGCAAGTGGCGCGGCGCAAGGGGGCCCTCAATAAGCACCTTCTGCTAAGGGGTGTCAAAGACCCGGGGTGGAAAAACTGGACGCCGCTGGTCGTCGTTGCTAACAAAAAGTCGGGCAATAACGACGGCGCCGTCGTGTTGTCGGAGTTCCGAAAGTATCTTAATCCGGTCCAGGTGGTCGATCTTAGCTCTAGGAAGCCGGCGGCGGCGCTGCAGTGGGCGGTGTTGCTAGCGCCGAAGGAGGTGTGGATGTTGGTTGGGGGCGGCGACGGGACGGTGGCGTGGATGTTGACGGCGTCGCATAAGCTGGATCTGGATGTGAGTTATGGGCGCGGTAGGTGTGCACGTCATGACGGTGTGGTTGCAGCCGGAACCGCCACTAGCGATCGTGCCACTAGGAACAGGAAACGACTTAAGTCGGGTCTTGGGCTGGGGGAGGGAGAACCCGCCGGAGTTGGACGTGGGGGAGATCTTAAGGAACATGCAGGAGGCGCGGGTGGCGCAGCTGGACAGGTGAGTCCGTCTTGGTTTAGACTGTATGAACGTAACGTAGGTTAAGCTCGCTTCGCTCGCCCAAAACTAACCCCAACAGTTTGAGGTGCAACCAAAACGTTCTCGTTTTAGATGGAAAGTGGAGATAACCTCCTCGAGACACCTGGGGCTCCGCATCCCCAACAAAACTCTGTATATGTATAATTACATAGGCATCGGAGTGGACGCCCAGGTCGCTTTGAACTTCCACAAAACTCGAGACAGCCTGTTTTATGTGTTCAGTAGTCGAATTTTTAATAAAGTTGGTAACACGTTACACACTAAACGTCCCTAAAGCCTCCCTTTCAGATACTATATCTGTGTTTTGGTACACAGCAAGTCGTCACTTCCGTCTGCAAGAACTTGGAACAGAAACTCGAGGTGTATTTAGACGGCAAACAAATCGACTTGCCTGAGTTAGAATCCATCGTTATTTTAAATATACCGTCGTGGGGTGCTGGGGTTAACCTGTGGGGTGAGTTGTCAAAATTTTTAAAAAAGTTGTATCCAGGTTGCGTTTAGGGTTGTTAGGGAACACGTTCGGTCGACCATCGCAATCATATCATGACGGGATTCTGGAGGTTTTGGGGATTTATTCGTCTTTTCATATAGCGCAGCTGCAGATGGGGTTGTCGACGCCCGTCAAACTAGGTCAAGCCAAAACCGTTGAGGTACTGACACTTATTACGCCTGCAAAAAACCGAGCAATGAATTTGCAGGTGCGTCTCAAAGCGAAGTCGCCCATCCAGATCGACGGCGAGCCGTGGGAGCAACACCCATGCATGCTTAAAGTCACCCTCGTCAACAAATGCCCAGTACTTATCAATCAAAGTAGAAACTAAACGAACCGATGCATTTATCCAAGTATTATATCGCCAAGTTGCCATTTTATCAAGTTCTGACTATAGCCGTTTTCATATTCCAGTACAAATTCTAACCAAGTTGATGGTTATCGTAGTTGTGATGTTATTTAAGTATCAGATGTTTTAAAACTTGTTTATGTTGTGATAATAAAACGAAACGCTTGTCTCATGCTTTATTTACAAAACGACACTCACTAACCTGTCACTTCTCGGGGATGTACCCGAAGTACATCCGCAACCGTTCGTAAAACACGAAAGTCAGAATCGTCTGTGGCCCGATTCGCAAAAACGCAGGAACATAACCTTTAAAAAACCCCAGCGGGCCTTCTTTAGCCGTGTAAAGAACAATCTCGCCCACGTTCTTGAATTCGCCGGGCTTGGCGTTCATTATGCGCGTTTTGAGCACGTCGAGGGGCTGCGTTATGGTGGTGGCAATCACGGCCTGGAAAAGGCGGAGTCAGTAGCGCGTCACACCAATCACCAACGAGGGTGACGAAAATGAGTGACTCACCGCGCCCATGCTGCACGTAAAGTGCGTGAACAAGTCGTCGTGGAAGAACCCGGTACCCAGACACATTTTCTTGAGCTGGTCGTACGACGTCAACTGCCCCACTGCCATCACCCCGGCTCGAAACGACGCAGTGGCCCCACCCCCGAACAACTTCTGCCAACCTTCGGTCCTGTAAACTTGTATAAACCCGTCGATCACGTGCTTGTAGCTGAAATGTCACAGTTAAATTGGGTTGGTGGGTGGGGGTCGTACTTTAGACGCTTCTCGGGGGGGAGTTTGACGTCGTTTTGCATCCGCACGTTGACTTTGTCGGGGGGCGTGCCTACGAACCCGCCGAGGGCTCCGCCCATGAAAGCCACACCCATTTTGGATCCTAGGCCGGTATCTTTGCTCATGAAGAGTTTGGCGGTATCGTAGATAGCAAACCTTATGGTGGAGTAAGTGAGTTGGCGGAAAAGGGAGGCGGAGATACCGCTGTACAGACCCACGAGGACTCCTGCAGAGGGTTGGTTACCGGGGTGGGGTAAGTGGAAGGACGTACCGTTTTTCCTAACGAGTTCGACGGCTAGAGGAAGCAGGGCGACTTGACCAGTGCGGGTTTGCAGCTGCACTTTGATCAAGTCGAGGGGGTGGGTGAAACAGGCCGCGAAGGCTGAAGCCAAACCACCGAAGTACCATCGTGGGAGTTTATCAGCCGTTGACATTTAAAGCGATTTCGATTTCGTACCAAAACGTCATTGTGACAGGTGACACTTGGTCAAGAACTACTGGGTGAAATTTAAATACAACACATCGCATTTATAGGAAACTCGGCTTTGATTGGTTGTGGGAACGATTAAACGACAACTGTGTAGATACTGTCTTTATTATTGAAAGAAAAAATATATTACTTTATAAAAATATATCAATATTGCCATTCGAAAATAAATAAAAAATTGAAAACAATATGGTTGTTTCCAGGCCGTAAAATATTGCAACATTATTACTGGTATGACGTCACCACAAGAATTACAACTTAAAGCTTAAATCAGTGCTTACCACTCCACAACAAAAACACTAACAACACAAACATCCTAATTCCTATCTAACAAACAACAACGTATCCTTATAAATGCCATGTTTGACACAAAATGTAGTAGGAAGAGTCAACCAACAATCTAAATCCTACTAGTTCCTTTAACTTTTCTAATTTGGCTTTGGCAAGACCCCGAAGTTGAACCTCAACTGCTCCAGAAACACGAACGTCAAAATCGTCTGCGGTGCCAACCTGACGAACGCAGGAACATATCCCTTGAAAAATCCCAGCGGCCCCAATTTGGCAGTATACAAAATAATATCCCACATCCCCTTGAACTCCCCGGGTTTGGCATTCATGGTCCTCGTCTTCAGCACGTCCAGCGGTTGCGTCAAAGTCGTGGCGATCGCCCCCTAAACACCCTCTCACAAACAATACTACCAACTTTCAAACACTTACCGCGCTAAGACTGGCCACGAAGTGCGTCGTCAAGTTATCCTGGAAATACGGCGTAGTCAGAAGCATTTTTTTGATTTGGTCGTAGAACGACAGTTGGCCGATTGTCATCAAGGCCGCACGGAAGGTGGCAGCAGTGGCGCCAGAAAACAGACGCGGGATTCCCTCGTCTCGATAGACGCGCCACAGGCCATCGACGGCGTGCTTGTAACTACAATGAGCGATTAGTGACACATTGACTGGGTGGGGGTAATTACTTTAGTCGTTTGTCCGGGGAGAGCTTGATGTCGTTTTGCATCCGAACGTTGATTTTGTCGGCGGGGGTTCCCACGAGGCCTCCAGCGGAACCGGCGAAGGCCGCCAAGGCCACGCGACTACCGAAACCGCTGTCTTTGTCCATGCGTTGTTTGACGATTTCGTAGATGCCGAAACGGGTCGTGGAGTAGGTGAGCTGGCGCAAGAGCGAGGCCGAGAGACCGTTGTAGAGAGCGAGCACGCCTGGGGAGAAAAGTGGGGTTATGAATTTGAAAAAGGCGCCACTTCGAGGATTTAGACCAATAGGGTGCAAGAGTGCCGTCACGTGAATATTAAAGTGGCACTTCGTGCGACGTGACAATTTTAAATTTGGCGCTAAAGCGATCCTCTTAACTTTTATGATGTGCGATGTGCTAAATACGAAAAATGGCAAAACACTCGAAAACAGTGATTTAAAGTAAAAATGCAACCACAAGACAATTTTTTAAACAAAGTGTGAGTACCAACTGCACAACGTCAAAATCCCTCTAGCGATTCGAGTCGTTCAAACCAAAAATACAAAGTCATCCAGTGCTAATTTAATTAATTATTCAAGCCATAACTGTCTGCAGGCTCACTGATTGCAGTTGAATGTCTTATTAATTTTATATGGGTCGATGAAAGCACGGTTCGCATACCAATGTGGCCGCACGAAAAACCCTAGCCATTGGCGAAAATTGTTTGAACGAAATGTCAACGTAAACTCGTCGTCCTTCGCCCCCTTTCAGTTAATTAGCACAGAATTTGCAAACAGTTAGTAACAAGCAACCAAAACAACCCGATAATTACAACTCAAACACTACCATTGAAGGCCCGCCGATCCAGCTGCTCTACTCTCTACCAGCAACAGTAAAAATCTCACCCTGCTTTTTCACAATATTTATGGTCAATTTTACTACAGACAGTTTCCCCTCTTGCTGCGTCTGGAGTTGGACCTTGAGTAAGTCGAGGGGATGCGTGCAGCAGCAGGCCATCGCCGAGGCTACGCCCCCGAAGTACCATTTCGACAATTTCTGCTCCTTCGACATCCTGCAAGTCCTACACACCTACGAAACGGAAAACCAAACGAAAATGAAACTATTAATGCACACGTAATCAAAGTAACGCTCTCGACTCTCAACAATAGGTAATAATGAAAATCATGCATTTTTATCGAGGAACGTTATCAAAAGCTCTATTTACTTTATTATTAGCGAAAATATTCAAAAATTAGCGCACTTCCAGCGCCCCCTGGCGGCAGGTGCGTTCGCCACACAGAGCACAATTTTCAAACCAACTTGACTGATAAATCGACGACCGAAACTCCTCTCTCCCACTTGCGGACGCCGCACATCGACCAGTCGCCCCCAACTGGGGCCGCCCACACCCCTTTCCTTTAATAGAACCACGTAAAAGCCGCCGCGTCAGCGCCCTCTGGCGACCACTTCACTTCCACATTTTGAGGTTATGTCGCGAAAAATGCGCTTTTCTGTGTAAACGCACGTGTTAAAATCGCTCACCTCGCTGGGGCTGCGTTAGGCGTCTCGACGGCGTTCTGCACAGGTACGTACTCAGTTGACGTGGGCCCGCCTGCCGGTGGGGCCCCCTCTCACCATAACCACCTCCCTAAATCCCCATCGTCCTATCATTATCTGTCACGGAATGACCACCACTTGTCAAGGTGACTCGACTCCGACACGTTTCAACCACTTCGGCGGAGCGTGATGTAACCTTGACGGTATTGATTACAGCTGCTTCTTGCAGGATGGCCACCATCAACCCCCTGTTGGTGTCTCTGGACATCAAGTCCTCCGACAGGGTCGTCTCGATCAAGGAGAACGGGAACGTGGACTCGAATTTCGTGATCACGCACTTGATTAAGCAGATCCTGGGGGACGGGAACAGGATGTGTTTTGTCATTTTGCATAACACGTTGGGGCACTACCAGAACGTGGGGAAGAGGTTGGGGTATGATTTTCTCAAACAGATCGAGGAGGGGCGGATCAGGACGATCGAGCCGTTGAAGGACATTGTGGAGGATATAGGCAACGAAACGAACTATTTTGTGGATGATAAGGAGCAAGTGGTGAAGGGGTTGTTCAAGAGTATTAAGAGCACGATGGAGGAGTTGGTGGAGGCGGGGTCGAGTAGGGTGTACTTGGTTATTGATGATATAAGCCATTTGTTGGATTTAGGGATCGATTTAAAGTATATTATAAGCTTTATTAATTATTGTTTAAGCTTGATTAACGATGAGCGGATTTCTGTTGTTATTAACACACACGTTTGTAGCAAGTCGGACGAGATTATTTGCAATAATTTGAATTACGTGTCAGATGTTGTTATTGAAGTCATGCCTTTGAAAACCGGGGTGAGTAGGGAGGTCACGGGGCTTCTAAATATTGAAAAATCGGGGAAGGAGCAGGTGACGCAGTTCCACTTCAAGGCGTACGATAAGGGGATTAAAACCTTCCATTTAGGGGAGTCGGTTTACAATTTATACAAATAGACTGATTTTTTGTTTTGCTTTTTTATATTTTATAGTGTCGCTGTTTAAGTTAATAAAGAATGCCAAAAGAGCGTCGATTTGTCGTATCCTTGATCCTTCGATTATCCTGGCGTAGTGTGTGCACGAATTCCTCCGTTTTCGTGTTAGTCGTGTTTAATGTGTTTTTTCTGTTTAATTAAGGGTGTTCACTACTTTACGCATCACGCTATTTCCAAATCGGAAAGCAGCATTTTTCTTTTAATTTTTAATTCGTATCGTGGCAAGCGGAAATCGATCAAGTGAAAAAATACGCGTGAATTGTGTTTAGAGAGCCATTAATGCTAGTTTAACAAGTTGTATTTGTTAACATTAATCGATAAATGTAGAAATTTAAATCAAACCGGTTGATTTACATTTTCTCCGGGTCAGGCAGCGTTTTAAATGAGTCGTGACCAAATGGCATAAATTTTACATTTTTGAAATATTTTTTAAATATTTAAATGTCTATCGAATTTTACGGAATTTTAATTCGTCACGATACTACGCCCTACTTTTTAGTATTCACCCTCACAATGAAACTTTCACCTAGACCTCGTGGCTGAGTTTCGCAATCGGCTAAGCGTGCAACTCGACCTAGGTAGGTATATGTCAAGTTCTGTACAAGGGTTTACAACACGATACTCAAGAACATGTTTTTTATTTCTTGTAGAGAAATAAGTATTTTGCAGTTAAGCTCCGCCCCCTTGGCTCACGACGAATAAAAAAATCATCAGAATTGAGATAGGGGGGGTGGGCGGGGCTTATATTTTGCCTTTTTGTCTTAATATACACAGCCATCTTTTCACAACAAGAAACTTAGAACATGCTTAAAATGGTACATTTTTGCAAGGAAATACATATATATATTTCCTAATACAAATTTTCCATTTTAAAAATGTTTTAAGTTTCATGTTGTGAAAAGAAGTCTACATTATATTAAAACAAAAAGGCAAAATGGAAGCCCGCCCACCCGCCCTATCTCAATTGTTATGATTTTTTTATTCGCCGTGAGCCAAGAGGGCGGAGCTTAACTGCAAAATACTTATTTCTTTGCAAGAAATTAAAAACATTTTTTCAGTTCCTCGATTTTCCGATTTTTCAGTTTCTCTATTTTCAATTTTTCGATGACTTAATTTTTCGATATTTTATTTTTGGACTATTAAATTTTTTGATTCTTCGATTTCTCAATTTTTTTATTTTTAGATTGTATCTATTTTCCAAGATTTCAGTTTTACAAATTTTCAGATTATCGATTGTTCAGCTTTTTCGAGATTTCAATATTTCAATTTTTAGCATTTCTAAATTTTTCGACTTTTTGATTTTCCCACATCTCGATTTCTTGATTTTTCAATTTTTTATCAGGTTTTTGATTTTCCAGTTTTTCAATTTTTCTATTTTTCAGTTTTTTGATTTCCCAATTTTTCGATATTTCAGTTTTGTGATTTTTCAATTTTTTGATTCTTCTATTTTCCAATTTTTCGATTTATCCATTGATTAATTTTTCGATATTTGAGTTTTAGGATTTTTCAGTTTTTTGAGTTTAATTTTTTGATTTCTTAAATTTTAAATTTTTCGATATCTTGTTTTTTAATTATTCAGTTTTTCGATTTTTCAATTTTAGGTTCTTTAAATTTTACAGTTTTCATTTTTCAATTTGTCAGTTTTTAAATTTTTCGACTTTTCAGTTTTATCAATTTCTCAATTTATCGAGATTTCGATTTTTTAATTTTTTGATTTTTGTTTTTTTTTTTTAATTTAAATTTTTCAATTTCTCAAATTTTGGTTTTTCGATTTTGGGCTCTTTCTCGACTTTTCGATACTTAATTGGATCTCTTGATATTATGATTTCTCTATGTTCCAATTTTCCAATTGTTCCATGTTTCAATTTTTCAGTTTTTCGACTTTTCAATTTCTCGATTTTCCAATTTTTCGATATTTTGAGTTTTGATATTTTAATTTTTTTGGTTTCTTAAATTTTAAATTTTTCGATTTCTCGTTTTTTTATTTTTCAGTTTCCATTTTTCAATTTTTGGTTTTTTAAATTTTACAGTTTTCAGTTTTTCAATTTGTCGGGTTTTTTTCCATCTTTTAATTTCTCGATTTTTCGTTTTTTTTTTTTTAATTTAAAATTTTCAATTTCTCAAATTTAATTTTTCGATTTTGGTTTCTTTCTCGATGTTTTGATATTTTAATTTCTCTATGTTTGAGTTTTCTAATTGTTGTTATTCCAATTTTTCAAATTTTCGATTTTTCCGAGATTTCGATTTTCCAATTTTTCCATATCGCAGTTTTTTGATATTTCAGTTTTGTGATGTTTCAGTTTTTCGATGCTTCAATTTTTTGATTTTTCGATTTATCCATTGATCAATTTTTCGATATTTAAGTTTTAGATTTTTTTCATATTCAATTTTTTTGGTTCCTTGGAGTCGAAATTTTTTGATTTCTTGTTTTTTTATTATTTGTCAGTTTTTCAATTTTTCAATTTTCGGTTTTTCAAATTTTACATTTTTAATTTTTCAGTTTGTCAATTTTACAATTTTTCGATTTTTCGACATCTCAATTTTTCCATTCTTAAAAATTTTCGACTTTTCGCATGTCAATGTTGGGGAATTTTCAATTTCTGGGATTTTTCTATTTCTCGGATTTCAATTTATCGACTTTTTCAATTTTCGGTTTATTTAAAATTTTTGAATTTTCGATTTTTCAAAATTCTTTGATTTAAAATTTTTTTTAAATGTCGGATATTACAATTTTTCGATTTTTTGATGCCTCAATTTGTCGATTTTTAAATTTTTCGACTTTTGGATTTTTTGACTTTTCGATTTTTCGACTTTCTAATTTCTTGATTTTTTCATTTTTAGTTATTTCGATTTCTCGATTTTTCGATGTTTTTTCTATTTTTAAATTTTTCGAATTTTTAAATTTTCGACTTTTCACTTTTTTAGTGTTTCTTTCCTCGATTTTTTGAAGTCTCGCTTTTGGGTTTTTTGGTTTTCAAATTTTTCGATTTTCCGTTTTTTTTTAAGTTAAATTTTTCAATTTCTCAAATTTAATTTTTCGATTTTGGCCTCTTTCTCGATGTTTTGATATTTCAATTTCTCTATGTTTGAGTTTTCTAATTGTTGTTATTCCAATTTTTCAAATTTTCGATTTTTAGGTTTTTGATTTTTCAATTTTTAGATTTTTCGACTTTTCCGACATCTCGATTTTCCAATTTTTCCATATCTCAGTTTTTTAATGTTTAAGTTTTGTGATCTTTTAGTTTTTCGATTCTTGATTTTTCTTGGATTTTTCAAATTTTCAATTTTTCGATTTATCCATTGAGCATTGAGAACTTGAGTTTTAGAATTTTTCAATTTTTCGATATTTTAATTTTTTCATTTCTAAAATTTTTCGATTTTTCGTTTTTTTTTTTATTTTTCAGTTTATCGATTTTCCAATTTTTCAATTTGTCAGTTATTAAGTTTTTCGATTTTTCAGGTGTATCGATTTATCGAGATTTCGATTTCTTTATGTTTCAATTTTTCAATTTATCGACTTTTTCAATTTTCGGTTTATTTAAAATTTTTGAATTTTTGATTTTTTTCGACTTTTCAATTTTTTGACTTTTCGATTTTTCGACTTTCTAATTTCTCGATTTTTCGATTTTCCATGTTTTCGATTTTCAGTTTCGGTTTCTTTTTGTTTTCTACTTTTCCGATTTTTCAAAATTATTTGATATTTTAATTTATAGTTATTTCGATTTCTCCATTTTTCGATGTTTCAGTTCTTCGTTTTTCCTACTTTTCAATTTTTCGAATTTTTAAATCTTAGACTTTTCACTTTTTTTAATGTTTCTTTACTCGATTTTTTTACTTTTCGCTTTTGGGTTTTTTGGTTTTTAAATTTTTCGATTTTTCCGTTTTTCAATTTCTCGATTTATCCAGATTTCGATGTTTCAATTTTTCGATTTCTCAATTTTTCGGCTTTCTAATTTCTCGATCTTTTGATATTTCGGTTTTTCGATATGTCAATTTTTCAGTTTCTATTTCTCTATTTCTCAGTTTTTAGATGTTTCGATTTTCCAATTTTTCGACTTTTCAGTTTTGGGGTTGTTCAATTTCACCATTTTTCAGTTTTTCGATTTTTTAAATTTTAAATTTTTTGATGTTTCGATTGCTTAATCTTTCGATTTTTTTACTTCTCGGATTTTAATTTTCCAGTTTTTTCAATTTTCGATTTTTAAAATTTTTGATTTCTCGATTTTGAATTTTTCGATATTTCAGTTTGGAGATTTTTAATTTCTTGTTTCTTCAATTCCTCAATTTTTCGAATTTTCGATTTCTCGATTTTTTTATTTTTCGATTTCACGTGTTTTTTTTTATTTTTCAGTTTTTCGATTTTTCAAATTTTACATTTTTCATTTTTCAATTTGTAAGTTTTAAAATTTTTCGATTTTTCAGTTTTTCGAGATCTCAGTTTTTTGATGTTTCACTTATGTGATTTTTAAATTTTAAATTGTTCGATTTCTCTTTTTTTTTATTTTCAATTTTTCTAGTATCTAAAATAAGATTTTGGAAATGAATATTATTAAGAGTAGTCATTGGAATGAAGAGAAGACGAAGTTAAATTCAGCCCCGCCCACCCACCCGTCTCGCATCAGCCTTTGTTCTATTAGTTCCCATTTCCACTCAAAAGAACATATAATTAACCCCGCCCACCCACCCCGCCTCCATTTCAGTCATTTATTTTATCTAGTCAGAATGAAAGGAAAATTTTATACTGAACAGACATAAATTCGTTACCTGTCAAGGTAAGATCGATTTTGGTAAATGACACACCCTCTAAAAAAATAAAGGGTGGGCGGGCGGGGCTAGTACTAGTTACGATAAGATTGATTGTGGCAAATGACCTACCCCATAAGAAAATAGAGGGCGGTGCTGGAATTTGCTAAGATAAAACTGAACACTATTAAGAATGGTCACTGGAATGAAGAAGGGGTGGGTGGGCGGGGCTACTACTTGATCATAAGACTAGAGAAAACTTAGCCCCGCCCACCTCAGCTAAGCGTGCAACTCGTCCTAGGTATAGGTCAAATCAAACACATAATTGTCAGTATATTTATTTCAACAAATGACTATCGTACAAGTTCGGCCACCTACTTTCAATGAAACTGAGCAGCTTGTTGTCTATGACGTCAGCAAAGTGACACTTTCCATAAATCATTCCACTGATGGGATTTTCTGTTAGTGTACCATTGAGACAAATCGCGTTCCATGATGGTTTAGCCTGCTCGATATTAAGCGTCAGGTGCGTCATGGTAAAAAACCCATCCACTTGACTATCAGTTTCGTTATAGAAAACACACCAAGCCCATTGCGGCACGGGAACCGTACCCCCATTTAAATAAAGCTCCACTCGTTCATGATCAGAGTTGGTTATAGTGAGCACCCCCAGAGTACCAGCAATGGAATGAGGACACTCCGGCTGCCACTCGATCAACGACTGGATCATCGGAAAACTGTTAATATAGTCCAAAGTCAACCTCTGGTACAAAGGATCAACGAAAACCTCAGTCCTTAAAAGCGGCAGTGCACGCATCGTGTACCCTCTCGCCCCCAAGCCCTCCAGTATACTCTCAGAATTGTAGTAAACCGCATCCATATCCACCCCATACAACCCACCCCCATCCTGAAAATAGGGATACGCGTCAAGACTAGCCAACCCACCCCCAGCGGACCCCTCACTGACTACTTGCTTCGTCTCGGCATAAAAAGGACTAAGTGTCACTTCGTCGAAACAAACCGTAACCAACTCCGAAAACGTTCCGTTCATGTCCAACCCGATTTCGTACACGCTGAAGTTACCAGCACACGTGGCGTTGACTTTCCTGACCGCTCCCAGAGGAAGTTCGGGCTTGCAGAAGGTCATGGCGAAGTCCAGGGTTTGCGTGGTCCAGGTGTTGAGCAGGAGAGTGCCGCTCAAGCAGATGGCGACGTCGCCCTCGGGGCGAATCAGAGAGTGGTTGGTGCCGGGGCGGCACTTGACGTAGAGCTGGTCGCCCTCGAGGAAGGTGATGCCGCCATCGGGGGCGGGCGTGGGGACGGTGGCGTTGAAGTTGACGATGAAGGGGGAGTCTGGGTTCGTGTTGTCGAGGAGGCACGCTGGAATTGAAAAAATTGTGAAGTCGAAGGGGCGAAGATGGGTGACGAATACGAACTGTCGGCTAGAGCGTGTGCGAGCAAGGTTACTAAGAGGGGGAGACGCCGCAGCATGGTGTGAGGTTTGTGCGGAGGTAGTCAGTCGCTGGGTTTAAATAAATTCGCGCTTTTTTATTTTAGTGGTGTTTCGAGTGGTTGCGACAACAAAGTCCGTTATTGTTTATGGGAATGATAACGAAATGTAAAAATGTGAAGAGTTTAGATAGGATTTTTTCTCATGTGTTTGTTTTGACCTGACAGTTCGTGAAAATAAGGAGTGTCGTGCTGTCCGACACGTATTAGTAGTAAGATTTACTTAATGGAATTTTCTGATAACGTCATTAGTTTCCTAGTGCAGATAAGTGCATCAGTTTTTTAACAAATCTCGCTTTTTTGAAAAATTTAAAAACTTTTGCGATTTTTGTGTCGATTTTGGGCTCGTTCTCGACTTTTCGATTTTTCGACTTTTTCATTTCTCGATTTTTCAATTTTTCGACTTTTCGTTTTATCCGATTGATCAATTTTTCGATATTTGAGTTTTAGAATTTTCAGTTTTTTGATATTTTACTTTTCTAATTTTAAATTTACCGATTTCTCGTTTTTTTAATTTTTCAGTGTTTTGACTTTTCTGTTTTAGGTTTTTTAAATTTTTCAATTTGTTAGTTTTTTTTTATTTTGATTTTTTTACTTTTCTTTTATTCATTTTTTTTCCTAATTCAAATCTTTCGATTTCTCAAATTTTAATTTTTGGGCTCTTCTCGACTCTTCGATTTCCCGATTTTTAAATTTTTTGATATCTCAGTTTTGTGATCTTTCAATTTTTCGATTCTTCAGTTTTTCAACTATTCAACTCTTCAATTTCTCGTTGTTTTGATATTTCGACTTCTTTATGTTTCAATTTTCCAATTGTTGATGTTTCCATTTTCAATCATTCGATGTTTAATGAGAATTTTCGTTTTCTCAACTTGTATAATTTTTAATTTTCGGCTTTTTTTTGATGTTTCAGGTTTTGGGATTTTTCAGTTTTTTGATTTCTAAATTTTTCAATTTTGCGGTTTCTCGATTTTTCAGTTTTTCAATTTTGCGATTACTCAATTTTTCGATATTTCATTTTTTGGCGTTTTTAAATTTTCGATTTTTCGATTTTTTTTCAATTTTTGATTTCTCGATTTTTCGATTTTTCAGTTTTTCAATATCTCAATTTTTCAAATTCTCAGTTTTTTGATATTTAAATTTTTCAATTTTTCAGTTCCTCGGTTTTCAGTTTTTTGGTTACTCAATTTTTCGATGTTTCATTTTTTGATATTAAAATTTTTCAATTTTTCGGTTCCTCAATTTTCAAAATTTTCAATTTCTCGATTTTCAATTTTTTGATATCTCGTTTTTCATATCTCATTTTTGGTATTTCTAAATTTTTCAATGTCTTGATTTTTTTGTTTGTCGATTTGTCTGTTTTCGAATATTTCCGTTTTATGATTTTTCAATTTTTCAATATTTCATTTTTTGGCGTTTCTAAATTTTCGATTTCTTTATGTTTCAATTTTTTGATTTCTCGACTTTTCGGCTTCTCGACGTTTCGACTTTTAGATTTTTTGACATTTTTTTATTTTCTCATTTCTCGATTTTTCGATTTTTTGATATTTAAATTTTTCAATTTTTCGGTGCTCGATTTTCAAATTTTTCAATTTTTTGATTACTTAATTTTTCGATATTTCATTTTTGGTATTTTTAAATTTTTCGATTTTTCAATTCTTTAATTTTTCGATGTTTTTGAATTTCCAGTTTTTCGATTTTTCGACTTCTTCATTTCTTGATTTTTCAATTTTTCGATATCTCAGTGTTTTGATGTTTCAGTTTTGTTTTTGGATTCTTTACTTTTTCTTCGATTTTTCAATTTTTTGACTTCGATTTATCCGATTGATCAATTTTTCGATATTTGAGTTTTAGAATTTTCAGTTTTTTGATATTTTAATTTTTTGATTTTAAGTTTATCAATTTCCCGTTTTTTTATTTTTCAGTGTTTCGACTTTTTAGTTTCAGGTTTTTTAAATTCTTCAATTTGTTAGTTTTTACATTTTTCGATTTTTCAGGTTTATCGATGTGGATTTATTTATTTTGTTTTTTTTATTTTCCTTTTATACTTTTTTTTAGTTCAAATCGTTCGATTTCTTAAATTTAAATTTTTCGATTTTGGGCTCTTCTCGACTTTGCGATTTCTCGATCTTTTGATATTTCTGTTTCAATTTTTCGATTTTTGAGGTTTTTCATTTTTCAGTTTTTCGATTTCTCGATTTTTAAATTTTTTGATTTCTCAGTTTTTTGATGTTTCAGTTTTGTGATCTTTCAATTTTACGATTCTTCAATTTTTCAACTTCTCAACTTTTCGATTTCTCGTTCTTTTGATATTTCGACTTCTTTATGTTTCAATTTTCCAATTGTTGATGTTTCCATTTCCAGTTGTTCGATGTTTAATGAGAATTTTCGATTTCTCAATTTGTCAAATTTTTCATTTTCGGCTTTTCGATGTTTTGATTTCTCAATTTTTCAGGTTTTGGGATTTTTCAGTTTTTTGATTTTTAAATTTTTCAATTTTGCGTTTACTCAATATTTCGATATTTCATTTTTGGTATTTTTAAAGTTTTTAATTTCTCGATTTTTTATTTGTCCATTTGTCTGTTTTCGAATATTTCAATTTTACGTTTTTTCAATACTTCATTTTTTGGCGTTTCTAAATTTTCGAGTTTTCGACTTCTCGACGTTTCGACTTTTAGATTTTTTGACATTTTTTGATTTTCTCATTTCTCGATTTTTCGATTTTCAATTTTTCGATTTTTCAGTTTTTCAAAATCTCAATTTCTCAAATTTCCAGTTTTTTGACATTTAAATTTTTCAATTTTTTAGTACCTCGATTTTCAATTTTTTTATTACTCAATTTTTCGATATTTAATTTTTGGTATTTTAAAATTTTTCAGTTTCTCGATTTTTTTATTTGTCAATTTGACTGTTTTCGAATATTTCAGTTTTACGATTTTTCAATGTTTCATTTTTTGGCGTTTCCAAATTTTCGGTTTTTCGATTTTTTATTTTTCAATTATTTGATTTCTCGATTTTTCGATTTCTCGTCTTTTCGACTTCTCAACGTTTCAACTTTTAGATTTTTCGACATTTTTTTGATTTTCTCATTTCTCGATTTTTCGATTTTCAATTTTTCGATTTTTCAGTTTTTCAATATCTCAATTTGCCGAATTTTCAGTTTTTTGACATTCAAAGTTTTCAATTTTTCGGTTCCTCGATTTTCAAATGTTTCAGTTTCTCGATTTTCAATTTATTGATTGCTCAGTTTTTTGATATTTCATTTTTGGTATTTTTAAATTTTTTAATTTCTCGATTTTTTTATTTGATGATTTGTCTGTTTTCGAATATTTCAGTTTTACGATTTTTCAATTTATCAATATTTCATTTTTAGACGTTTCTAAAATTTTCGATTTTTTTATTTTTCAATTTTTTGATTTTTTTATTTGTCGATTTGTCTGTTTTCGAATATTTCAGTTTTACGATTTTTCAATTTTTCAATATTTCATTTTTTGGCGTTTCTAAATTTTCGATTTTTTTATTTTTCGATTTTTTGATTTCTCGGTTTTTCGATTTCTCGACTTTTCGACTTCTCGACGTTTCGCCTTTAGGTTTTTTGACATTTTGTTGATTTTCTCATTTCTAGATTTTTCGATTTTCAATTTTTCGATTTTTCAGTTTTTCAATACGTCAATTGCTCGAATTTTCAGTTTTTTGATATTTAAATGCTTCAATTTTTCGGTTCCTCGATTTTCAAATTTTTCAATTTCTCTATTTTTCGATTTCCCGACTTTTCGACTTCTCGATGTTTCGACTTTTAGATTTTTTGACATTTTTTTTATTTTCTCGTTTCTCGATTTTTAGATTTTCAATTTTTCGATTTTTCAGTTTTTCAATATCTCAATTTCTCGAATTTTCAGTTTTTTGATTACTCAATTTTTTGCTATTTCATTTTTGATATTTTAAAATTTTTCAATATCTCGATTTTTTTATTTGTCGGTTTGTCTATTTTCGAATATTTCGGTTTTACGATTTTTCAATTTTTCAATATTTCATTTTTTGGCGTTTCTAAATTTTCGATTTTTTTGTTTTTCAATTTTTTGATTTCTCGATTTTCGATTTCTCGACTTTTCGACTTCTCGACGTTCCGACTTTTAAATTTTTAGACATTTTTTGATTTTCTCATTTCTCGATTTTTCGATTTTCAATTTTTCGATTTTTTTATTTTTCATTTTTTGATTTCTCGATTTTTCGACTTCTCGACGTTTCGACTTTTAGATTTTTCGACATTTTTTTGATTTTCTCATTTCTCGATTTTTCGATTTTCAATTTTTCGATTTTTCGGTTATATCTCAATTTCTCGAATTTTCAGTTTTTTGATATTTAAATTTGTCAATTTTTCGGTTCCTCGATTTTCAAAGTTTTCAATTTCTCGATTTTCAATTTTTTGATTACTCAATTTTTTGATGTTTCATTTCTGATATTTTAAAATTTTTCAATTTCTCGATTTTTTTTGTCGATTTGTCTGTTTTCGAATATTTCAGTTTTACGATTTTTCAATTTTTCAATATTTCATTTTTTGGCGTTCCTAAATTTTCGATTTTTTGATTAATCGAAACCTGACCTGACCTAAATATTCGAAATATTCGGAGTGAAATTCAAATTTTTTTAGTTAGTTAAATTTCGAAAATCGTCGAAAATGAGTGGAAATTTTCATTCCTGAAAAAATTTACCAAAAATCGCCTAAAGTGTTTTGCAATGTCCTTTACTCAAATAATAACATCCTAGACCCAAATTTTTTCCTTAAACTTTTCCGTAGTGATAATTATAAACAACAGGTGCACTGATTAAACAAACTTATCACTTTCGAGAAGGTCGGTGTGTATTTTAATTTCAAGTACTACAGTAAAAAAATGATATATCTAGTGCTGATGAATCTTGAAACTTTGTAAGGATTTCGTTATTTTTATCATTGCAAAAACACTTGAATGCTCACAAATAAATATCCTACAAAGTTGCACACTCGCAATGTTGGTCCTACTTCTTGTACTTTTTGTCCCTTTGGTTTTAGGAGAAGGTTTGCCCTTTTGTATTCTGGTTTACGTTATCATAAGGTAATAAATTTACAGATTGTGTCCTAAACCTACCTTTAGACGCTCCTTGGGTAGTCGACCAAGATTTCAACTTTTTCCATCTTACGAGCGACGCCACGAACATAACCATCAAAGCGGGCGCCAAATTCTACATGAAGTGTCTAAACGGTACTACAACCTCACTTTTTTCGGACGATGGTGACATGTTCATGTGCATCGGAGGCACAAGTTTATTTCTGCCAACAACCGGGGAGGTCGTAGATTATAATAAAATCATATGTAAGAACAATCCGCCTGTCCACGCCATACGAAAACTTACTCAGACTTGTGCTAATAACTTCACCTTGATAGAAGCAGGACTCACCATTGGTACTACCTTTTCACCAGCATACACCGTGTGTTTCGACGATACTCTCTTGAGTCCGTTCTATGTAGAATTTACCAAACCTTTATACAATTGTTCCGGGTCTTGTGGCAGTACTCTTCGCTTACACGTAGATGCTGGCAGCTTATACAACGTAGACCTCGACCTCATCTACATCCGACAAGAAACCATCTTCAAAAATCTAGATCTTGAAGCAAGCTTCAAACCACTGCAACAAGTTTCCTTAGTCGATAACCAGCTATTCGTCAACCCTGCTCGGTGGTACCCGACGTTCGACTACGCAAACCACGTCTTCAACTGGGCTTCTTTCGACGGTACTCCTTCAGATTTTTGTTTTAACTACTTACCGGCAAGTTCTGTCGTCTACGCCGGCGTGTTAGGTGTGGCTAAAGTTAGCAACTCGCAAGGAAAACTCGTCGAAGTTTATCTAAATGATGGTACTGTTCCGGTACCGCAGTGGTACTGGTGCGTCTTTTACGATAAGTCGCCGCAAGTTGACGGAGTTTTCTTCGTACAGTACACGGCGATGATGGCGACGGCGACCTCTTCCTCTGGAGCCCAGGTTTTATGGCAAAACGAGATTTGTAGTGAAGATACGTACGTCTACAATGATCAGCTTGGGGAGTTTTATGGAAATTGTACGTTTAGTGGGTTGGTAAACCCGCTATTGATTAATTTTGTGGACGAGAAGTGGCCACAGGCGAGGGCGAAGAGTCAAATCTTGCTAACATAAACCCTCGAAGTTAAGCATGTAATTACTAAGAGTACATTTTTCCACGACTATAAAATCTTCTGAATTTGTATACAATGCATTATCAAAAATTCTAAATAAAAATTATTATCACAGTTGCAATAAACACTTGAACTGCATTTTTTTTAATATTCAGATAAAACAGACACCGTACAGTGCGTTCCGTCAATTCAACAAAATGTTGGTGTTAATTATCTACCTCTGCTTTACAACCACGGTCTTTGGAGAAGGTCTGCAACCTAACGTCGCTTTCACGTTACTCTTCATCGACATTTTCAGATTGCGTCTTCGACATCAAATCACCCAACACCCCCATAGTCCTCGACAGCGACTTAAACTTCGTAACTTCTTACACCCAAGACACCATCCACTTCACAGCAGGTGAACACTTTTACTTGAAGTGCCCTTCCGGCACCACCAGCACGATCATCTCCGAAACCATCGACCTCGTAGTGTGCATTGGAGGGGTCCGGTTCTACCACACTGGACTCGGAAAAGAACTATTCTTCGACAAACTCGGCTGCAAAGACGTCCAACCAGCGCACGCCCTAAGACAACTGGACCAACCCTGCGCTAACAACTTCACAACCATCCAACTCGGAATCGAAGTCAACTATACCTTCATCCCCGAATTCCTCGTCTGCTTCGACACGGTCCACCTGGTTCCATTCTATGCCGAGTTTAGCAAAACCTCGTACGACTGTCACGTGGAGAATTCTTGCGACGACAAGTACAACTACTTCGTGGACGCTGGCGATGTCTACGGTGTCGACCTCGACTTGCTGTACCAAGAAGCGGGAGACATTTTGCAAGATCTTGCCCCCTTCAACATAAGCTACACTCAGCTGGTTCCTAAGCGGTACTTCCTGAACCCTGCACAGTGGTACCCGACTTTCGACTACGTCAACTTTGTGTTCAGCTGGGTTCCTTATTCGTGGTTTTCGCCCTATTCTTTTTGCACGAATTATTTAGAGGTGGGTTCGGTTATCTACAACGGGGTTCTGGGGGTGTCTGCTAATAAAAACGACGACGGGGAATATGTTAACCTCTATCTTTTTAATGGTACTGTTCCCATTCCGAAGTGGTACTGGTGTGTGTTTTATGACGTTGCGCCTGAAGTGGATGGGCGATTTTACATCGATTTTGGGACGCCGTATTCGTCCATTCCTGTAGCGGAATTGAAGGATTGGTGGAACACGGAGCTGTGTATCGCAGATACTTTTGACTATATAGAGGAAGGTACCTTCTTTTATGGCAACTGTACCTTCGAGGAAGTTATTAATCCACAGTTGCAAAATTTTATTGATTTCAAGTGGCCGGGGGCGAGGACAGTTCCCACAACCACAACCACACCATCATGAAATACTGCTTTGTCAATTTAAATACCATGGTGTTACTAAGTTCACTGTTTTTTTTGTATACGTATATATGGCAATAAAATATGGTTTTTATTATTCCAGAATCAATTTACTTCTCTTACAGTAGATAAAATAAGTCAGTGAAATGGAGAAAGAAGGTCTTATGATCAAGCAGTGGCTCCGCCCACCCACCCTTTCTTCATTCTTAATAGTGTTTAGTTGTATCGCAGCAAATTCTAGTACCGCCCATCCGCCCTTTATTTTCTTAGAGGGTATGTCATTTGCTAAATTAGTCTTATCTTAGCAAATATTAGCCCCGCCCACCCCCCCTTATTTTTTTAGAGGGTATGTCATTTACCAAAACCGGTATTACCTTGACAAGTACTAACCCCACCCATCCGCCCTATTCTCATTCCAACGAATTTAGTTCTGTTCAGTATAAGATCCACCTTTCATTCTGACTAGATAAAATAAATCACTGAAATGGAGGCGGGGTTAATTATACGTCCTTTTATAGAGTGCAAATCGGAACTAATAGAACTAAGTAACTAAGAAAACCCCACCCACCTTTTCCTTCCAATGACTACTTTTAATGTTGTTCATTCCAAAATCAGTCTTATTTTAGCAGATACTAGAAAAATTGCAAATCAAAAAATCAAAACGAAAAATTGAAAAAATTGGAACTAAAAAATCGAAACACAGAGAAATCGAAAAGTTGAAAAATCAAAAAATCGGAAATTTAGAAACGCCAAAAATTTAAAAAATACAGAAAATAAAAGCGAAAACGAAAAACTGCAAATCGAAAAATTGAAAAAATTGGAGTTGAAAAATCTAAAAACAGAGACATCCAAAAATTGAAAGATTGAGCAACTGGAAAATATCAAAAAATCGAGAAAACAAAATAGCCCAAAATGGAAAAATTAAAATTTGAGAAATTAAAAAATTTAATTAAAAAAAACGAAAGACGACCTTTTCAAAAATTAAATTTTCCAATATGTATGCAAATTTCGACCCATTTTCCACTATTCTTTTTGTGTGTTTTGATTTTATAATTTTTCAGTTTTCGATGTAAAATTTTTCGATTTTTCTTTTTGCAATTTTTCGGTTTTTGGCGTTTCCAATTTTGTAATATTTTGATTTTCCCATTTTTCGATTTTTCGATTTTCAATTTTTTATTTTTCAGGTTTCTCATTTTCAGTTTTTCGATTTCTCAATTTTTCAGTTTTTCGATATCTCAGTTTTTGGATTATTCAGTTACGTGATCTTTTTACGATTATTACATTTTTTGATATTTTAACTTTTCGATTTCTCGGTCTTTTGATATTTCGACTTGTACCAATTTTCCAATGGATGTTTCAATTTTTCGATTTCCCGGCTTTTAGATTTTTCGATTTTTCTTTCATTTCTTCAGTTTTTCAGTTTTCAATTTTTCAATTTTTCAGCCTTTAGATTTTCTTTTTTTCAATTTTAGGTTTTTCATTTTCGCGATTTTTCAATTTTTCGTTTCTTGTTTTTGTGTGTTTTGATTCTATTTTTTTTTGGCTTTTTTGAATTTTCGATTTTTTTTATTTTTGCACTTCTCGGCTTTTCGACGTTTACATTTTTTGACATTTTGATTTTCCCATTTCTCGATTTTTTGATTTTCAGTTTTTCGATTTTTAGATTTCTCAATTTTTCAGTTTTTCGAAAATTCAGTTACATGATCTTCCAATTTTTCGATATTTGAATTTTGGGATTTTTCAATTTTACGATTATTAAATTGTTTGATATTTTAATTTTTCGATTTCTTAAATTTAAAATTGTTCAACTTTGGGCCATTTACATTTTTGGTGTTTTCAATTTTTGAACTTCTCGACTTTTCGGTTTCTCGATCTTTCGATATTTCGATTTCTCTATGTACTGATTTTCCAAACGATGCATCAATTTTTGGATTTCCCGGTTTTTTGATTTTTCGACTCTTCGGCTTTTAGATTTTTCGATTTTTTTCAATTCCAATTTTTTAATCTTTCATTTCTTTAATTTTTCGATTTGCAATTTTTCATTTTGGTTTTTTGTTTTATTTATTTTTTCAATGCTTCGGTTTTTCAATGTTCTGATTTTATAATTTTTCATTTTTCATTGTGAAAATTTTCGATTTCCTCGATTTGCAATTTTTCAGTTTTCAATTTTTCAATTTTTCAACTTTTCGATTTTCGTTTTTTCAATTTTAGATTTTTCAATTTCGCGATTTTTCAATTTTTCGTTTCTTGTTTTTGTGTGTTTTGATTTTGTAATTTTTTTTGACGTTTTTGAATTTTCGATTTTTTGATTTTTCCACTTCTCGGCTTTTCGACGTTTACATTTTTTGACATTTTGATTTTCCCATTTCCCGATTTTTTGATTTTTTAGGTTTCTGATGTTCAGTTTTTCGATTTTTCGATTTCTCAATTTTTCAGTTTTTCGATATTTGAATTTTGAGATTTTTCAATTTTACGATTATTAAATTTTTTGATATTTTAAATTTTCGATTTCTTAAATTTAAAATTGTTCAACTTTGGGCTATTTAAATTTTTCGTTTTATCAATTTTTCAACTTCCCGACTTTTCGATTTCTCGATCTTCCGATATTTCGATTTCTCTATGTACTAATTTTCCAAATGATGCATCAATTTTTGGATTTCCCGGTTTTTTGATTTTTCGACTCTTCGGCTTTTAGATTTTTCGATTTTTTCAATTCCAATTTTTTTAATCTTCATTTCTTTAATTTTTCATTCTAGTTTTTTGTTTTCTTTATTTTTTCAATGTTTCGGTTCTTCAATGTTCTGATTTTATAATTTTTCATTTTTCATTGTGAAAATTTTCAATTTCCGCGATTTGCAATTTTTCAGTTTTCAATTTTTCAATTTTTCAACATTCAGATTTTCGTTTTTTCAATTTTAGATTTTTCAGTTTCGCGATTTTTCAATTTTTCGTTTCTTGTTTTTGTGTGTTTTGATTCTATAATTTTTTTGGCGTTTTTGAATTTACGATTTTTTGATTTTTCCACTTCTCGGCTTTTCGACGTTTACATTTTTTGACATTTTGATTTTCCCATTTCTCGATTTTTTGATTTTCAGTTTTTCGATTTTTGGATTTCTCAATTTTTCAGTTTTTCGAAGATTCAGTTACGTGATCTTTCAATTTTTCGATATTTGAATTTTTGGATTTTTCAATTTTACGATTATTAATTTTTTGATATTTTAATTTTTCGATTTCTTAAATTAAAATTGTTCAACTTTGGGCTATTTAAATTTTTCGTTTTTTCAATTTTTCAACTTCTCGACTTTTCGATTTCTCGATCTTTCGATATTTCGATTTCTCCATGTGCTAATTTTCCAAATGATGCATCAATTTTTGGATTTCCCGGTTTTTTGATTTTTCGACTCTTCCGCTTTTAAATTTTTCGATTTTTTTTCAGTTCCAATTTTTTTGGTCTTTCATTTCTTTAATTTTTCGATTTGCAATTTTTCGTTTTTTTTTGTTTTCTGTATTTTTTGAGTTTTTCGATTTTTCAATCTTCTAATTTTATAATTTTTCATTTATCACTTAAAATTTTTCTGTTTTTCGAATTCAAATTTTTCGGTTTTCAACTTTTCCACTTTTAGATGTTTTAACTTTTCGTTTTTTCGATTTTAGATTTTTCAGTTTCACGATTTTTCAATTTTTCGTTTCTTGTTTTTGTGTTTTGATTCTATAATTTTTTTGGCGTTTTTAAATTTTCGATTTTTTGATTTTTCCACTTCTCGGCTTTTCGACGTTTACATTTTTTGACATTTTGATTTTCCCATTTCTCGATTTTTTGATTTTCAGTTTTTCTAATTTTCGATTTCTCAATGTTTCAGTTTTTCGAAGATTCAGTTACGTGATCTTTCAATTTTTCGATATTAGAATTTTGGGATTTTTCAATTTTACGATTATTAAATTTTTTGATATTTTAATTTTTTATAAAAATTCTAAACAAAGATTATTATCAGAGTACAGTTTTTGCAATAAACACTTGAACCGAATTTTTTTTTTAATATTCAGATAAAACAGACACCGTACCGTGCGTTCCGTCAACTCAACAAAATGTTGGTGTTAATTATCTACCTCTGCTTTACAACCACGGTCTTTGGAGAAGGTCTGCAACCCAACGTCGCTTTCACGTTACTCTTCATCGACATTTTCAGATTGCGTCTTCGACATCAAATCACCCAACATCCCCATAGTCCTCGACAGCGACTTAAACTTCGTAACTTCTTACACCCAAGACACCATCCACTTCACAGCAGGTGAACACTTTTACTTGAAGTGCCCTTCCGGCACCACCAGCACGATCATCTCCGAAACCGGCGACCCCGTAGTGTGCATCGGCGGGGTCCGGTTCTACCACGCTCGCCTAGAAAAAGAACTATTCTTCGACAAACTCGGCTGCAAAGACGTCCAACCAGCGCACACCCTAATACAACTGGACCAACCCTGCGCTAACAACTTCACAACCATCCAACTCGGAATCGAAGTCCAAACCTTCATCCCCGAATTCACCGTCTGCTTCGACACGGTCCACCTGGTTCCATTCTATGCCGAGTTTAGCAAAACCTCGTACGACTGTCACGTGGAGGATGCTTGCGACGACAAGTACAACTACTTCGTGGATGCTGGTGATCTTTATGGTGTCGACCTCGACTTGCTGTACCAAGAAGCGGGAGACATTTTGCAAGATCTTGCCCCCTTCAACATAAGCTACACTCAGCTGGTTCCTAAGCGGTACTTCCTGAACCCTGCACAGTGGTACCCGACTTTCGACTACGTCAACTTTGTGTTCAGCTGGGTTCCTTATTCGTGGTTTTCGCCCTATTCTTTTTGCACGAATTATTTAGAGGTGGGTTCGGTTATCTACAACGGGGTTCTGGGGGTGTCTGCTAATAAAAACGACGAAGGGGAATATGTTAACCTCTATCTTTTTAATGGTACTGTTCCCATTCCGAAGTGGTACTGGTGTGTGTTTTATGACGTTGCGCCTGAAGTGGATGGGCGATTTTACATCGATTTTGGGACGCCGTATTCGTCCATTCCTGAAGCGGAATTGAAGGATTGGTG